AAATGAAGAAATTCAAAATGACAAAAATAAAAGGTTTAATTTAGAAAAAAAAAATATAGTAGAAAATGAATAAAAGGTTTTATTTAAAGAAAAAAATAAAAATATCAACATTTCACAATTAAAATTGACCGAAAATGTTAAAAAATATAGTAGAAAATGGCTCTAACAAGTAACAAACCCTTATATTTATAGGCTTAGCAGGGGTATTTTCGTCATATTTTGAAAAAAATACAACATTAGGGGGGTTTTTGTATTTATGGGTGTACATGGGGTATATGATACAAAGTCCATAGTACAGGGGTGTTTTTTATTTAACTCAATAAATAATAAATAAATAACCCTATAATCTAATTTTGGCCTTTATATTTTCCACCACTGATATCACGCCACCTGTCCTCAGAATTAATCTTCGTCTCCAGAGCTGCTTTCTGATTCATCATTATCACTCTCAACTTCCTCCTCCTCCTCGGTAACATCCCAATCAGTATCCTCATCTTCCTCTTCGCCGCCGTCACTCCACCGCTCTCTGTCGCCGTCGTTCCGATTCAGATGCATCTCCAGAAGCGAGGACGCAACTTCTCTCTCCTCGCTACTCAACGCCGCCGCAGATCCGCCGCCGACCCGCTCCGGCCGGCCGATTTCGTAAACCCTAGCCGTAGACCGGCGGTCAATTATGCTGTTCATGGCAACCACGCCGACGTAGGAATCCGTCGGCTCCGTCGCGAAATCCAGCACGCAGCGCTCCGCCGGAATCGTCGCGATGTCGGAGTAGCTCATGGCGTCGACCGTGCGGAAAGCGGAGACGAAATCGTTCCTCATCCGGCGAGCGTCGAACGCTGACGTCACATAATCGATGTTCCTCCTCATGATTGCGTAGATGACGTCACCACCGGAATTGAATTTAATCGTCGTCCGATCCAGTGACGGTACACTTCTGAGAAGCTTATAGTTTCGTAGATCCCACACCTCCGAGTTTATAATTACCTTTTCAGATCAATTGTTTCCTTTAATTAATTTACATTTCATAAATTCCAAACAAAAAAAAATTATTTAATTTAATTTATCTAATATGTACCTCATTTCCAGCAGGATGAAAGCCACCACCACCAAAATCAGTGTACCGCTCAAAGTGGTGAATCGGTTTTACATCTCTGCAATCCCACAAAGCTCCATCCCAAAGAAGCATAGATTTCGTTGCGGCGAAGTGAATTTGTGAATTCGCATTTGCCTGATCATCTAAATATCTTGTGTTGTCATCTTTGAGCATCAGGTTCAGCTTACACGTCTCGATATCGAACAAATAAATCTTGCGCTGAAAAGTCTCCATCGGTACTGCACCGAATAAGGCACCGCAGTTACTGAACTGCGCGCGTCTGATTCTTCCAAACAAATGCACCGGACCATGTGAAAGTGAAGATCTGCTCCATAAGCAAACGTGATCCGAGCTCGACGAAAGAAGAAGTTGAGCCCCGTTTTTATAATGAGACTGCAAAAGAGTCAATTGAGATCGGTGACTGGCGGAACTCTCCGCCACGCTTTTGCTTCCACCGTTGTAATCGAAAATTTTCACTTTACGAGAAGATCCACCCGTCGCAATTTGAGAAGAATCTCCGAGGAAAGCCATACTAGTTAGAAGGGGCTTTGATTCGTCGCCGAAAGTTTTTCTCAGTCTGAATCTACTGTACTTAAATTTTCGATCGTTGCGGTTTGCATCAAACCCTTCACAAAGACTTGTGTATTCACGTGCGCCGATCCTTCCTGTCACATTATACGAAGAATCGGGACACTGTTTTGACTCCAGGCAGGAATGATGGTGCAAGAGTGAAAGTGGGGGCAATGTCGTAATTGGAGCTGAGCATCGTTCGTGTTGCTGCTTCAGATATTGAATGACGAGTGAATGTAACGTGATTCTCTCATGGGTAAAATCGTAATTTGACTTGACTCGTCTTTCTTGTGGTGCAGTCTCGTTCAGCTTTCGCTTCATCGGTACAACTGAAGTGGATGATAATGGCAGTTCTTGTGCATTTTTGGAAGACGAAATACATCTTTGTGAACTGTCCTTCAGTTTGATTTTGAGCTTTGATTTACCATGTGAACTGTTTTTGGATTTCTCGGAAAAGAATCCACCGGGAGAAACTCGAGAAGGCCATTGCATTTGTATAACTTCCGTAGATTTCGGGGCAGATGGCGATAAGTTAGCGTCTTCGAGAAGTGCAGCTGCACTATCTGCTAGGCCCACTTCTTGAAGATACTCATGCATGAGGAGCAGAAGTTCTCTGACATATATTCACATCATTTCAGACAAGGTATTATAGAAGATTGTTTTCTTCTGTATATATAGAAAGAGCTGAATACTTTCGATCGGTTACCTATTATTGTAAGTGATGGGAGTTGCAGCAGCAATGGCGGCTCTTTCGATGCAACTAGCAGTTGTCCTTACAGCATCGTTCGCCGCTAAAGTGCTTGCCTTTGCGCAATTAGTTACCACCTTCAGATTAATGAACAACTTTATCAGTATGAATGTAGTCTTCAGTAATGTATATATATATAAGTAATGCTTACCGCGATTAGCTCAACAGTTACTTGGGCAAGCTCTGCCTCCCACGTATTATGCTCACCACTAGAGCTTTGTTTTCCGGAATCTCGAGTAAGTTCCGATACTTTTTCCGCTACCTGAAATAGACAGTCAAAAACAGAAACTTTGTACAACTTTTTTTTTTTTTTTTTTGTGAAATCGAATAAAAGTTTATATTCGAGTGACAATGATTACTGACCCCAAGCTTTAGTAATATATCCGCGATTTCATTATCTCTGGCTAAACCAAGAAAGACTCGGCATATCAGAACACGGAGGGATTTAAATTTCCGGGGTTGAAGAAGCTGAATAAGAGCTTTTATTCCCTTGTTTGCATGAACAGCTTTTCGAGCTTGTCGATATTCTTGTTCTAGCTTCTCTCGTTCAGAGGAAGCTTGCTGATGTGGCACGATGGCTGCATTTGATTCGTCGGTCATCGATTGAGGAGGGCAGAGGAGATTTATCAACAGATGTAGCGCCGGCTCAGCACCCTTGAACATATTTGTCACAAGAAATGTGCAGTTATTGGGATATTAATTAGCAAATCCAAAAAAAAAAAGGAATGTAATAATAATAAATAAATACCTCTGGTTTAACGTCGGCAGGGGTCATTATTGCATCCAAAATAACAGCCATGCCGACTCGACCATCGCTTACTGTTGCGTTTATTATTATTTCACGGCTGTATGGAATTAAAGTTACAATATGCAATACACCGAGTACGTGTGGAAGCAAATCTTGTAACCTATATGTGTTCTGTAAAACAAAAAAAGAAAATTATATATATACATACTGAAAGAATAAATATACATGCAGAAAATGGAAATTTCAACAATACTAATTAAAATCAGACCTGGCACATCTCCAACACGGTAATATGACCTTTCAAACGTAAGAATTCGTCGACGGCGTGCCAGCTCGTCGCCCTTGCAAAAGCGGGCCCCACTTTCTGATCCTTTTGTATTTTACGAAACACAACGTCCAGTGCCTCGTTGCTTAAGTCGAGTTGTCTATACGAAACCCTAACTTTCGAGACGTGTGAAATGGAATCGACAAACAAGTGGAGGTGCGCTTTCATGTACCGGTGCAGTGCAGTGCAAGTACAGTGGGCTTTGTTCTTATTGGAAGCATACTCTTGCAGATGACAAAGAAGCTTTCGCAAACCATCCTTTCTGTCGAATGCTTCGACGAACGCACGGAAAGAAAAAGCGGACGAGATGAATAAACCGGCATTTTGGCTCGATAAATCATTCCGACACTCAAGAAGCTCCAAAGCCAACTCGACAACTGTTTCGATGACGTTTGAAGGAAGATCGCACACGTGTTCCATTATGCCCTGCAAAAAAGAAACATAAAAACATAGTATGGTGTCAAATATTTGCTCACAGATCAAGAAAACCAATAGATACACATGATTACAAAAAAAAAAAAGAAAAAACAAACTTAGAAAATTACGAAAATACCGTTGTTAAATAATTAAGAGTGATAAAGGGCAAAAATGAAAAAAAAAAATGATCTTGAATATACTAAAAACCGGAGATATAAAAAAATTATGCGAAAACAATTACCTTAAACTTATTAATGGCGAATAAGAGCAAAGAGAGACTGAAAAATGTTTGCTTATTTCTCGGAACGTCAACAACTCTCTGCATGCCACCACGGTCAACGAATAACGTTACAAATTTTCGATGAGCCGCAAAGTGACCAACTACCTTCAAAACATCGAGCAAGTATAGTATACTTCTCGATAACGGTACACCCTCGCCAATTTTCACAGATTTCCTTAATAACTCAATGGAAATATCAACCGCCTTCTCATGAAGAAGAGGTTCGATACTCTCGATACGCTTCCCCATAACCGTCAGACACTTAACACATGCTTTCTCCCTTAGCTGTGTAAGTGAATCGAAGCTTGCTATGTAAACTTCACCGATATCGGTTTTCGGCATAGTTAACTTCCTACAAAACGCGAAAAAAAAAATAGTCGATAAGAATCTAGATATATATATTGAGTGAATAAATTAAATGATCATGTATGTACCATATGAGAGCAGCATCAAATGCAGTCTTTTTTACTTCGCCCAAAACCCCACTTCGTAAATATTGCATTAGCATAACCGGCAATCCGTACGTTGTTAAGGCATCTTTCATTCGTAGGCACCCACTAAAAATTTCGATAAAACAAAAATGTTAGAAAAAAACCCACATAACAAGACTATACAAATAGTGAAAAATATAAATTATATATAGAAAAAATTAATAAATAAAATTAAATTAAAGGGATTAAGAACATACAAAGTCAAGCATACGGAAAGAAGAGCAACGGAGTATGTGTGCAATATTTCGACATCTAATATTTGCCGTATCGTTTCAATATTCTCCAATTTGAGATGAGCACCGGAATTTCTTTGTGGCTCGTTCATCGACCAGCCTAAGAAATTATCAACAACGTCGTCTTCGAATATATGCGGTTTCTGTATCCCTTTCTGTGTAAAAATGAATATAAACATGTTAAATAAATAAATGATTAATGGAGTGTATAATATAGCAGCTAAAAATTGTGGCAATAAATACGTACCATCCAAACCAGCGAGCAATTGAAAATAAGGCGTACAGTAGCCGCGTTTACGGATTTAGAATATCTTCTATCGGTCAGAAACTTGAAAGATATCAATCGAAAAAACACGTCGTTCTTCTGCATGCGATAAAAAAAAATTAATTAGCAACTAATTAAGGGCGTTTTGGGATTAAAGAGTAAAACCTGCAGTAGGTATATTTAGCAAAGGAAAAAAAAACGAAAAGTACCCGAATAAGATTCCAAATGCATCCAAGATTATCATGAGAAGAGCTGTTGCCATTATTTGTCGAGGAACGATCTGCGTCTGTCATGTAACTATATATCCGGAAAAAAAAAACGAAAATGTACAGTTAGCCAAAAAAATGTTTGAAGAACGGTAATTAATTAGGTCACTTCTGAATTAAAGCCCTAAAACCTAAAACGAATAGAAAACACGGCGTCGACTATATTCACTACTTGAAATGGAAATAAATCGAGAAAGTATAGAAACGATCGATCGGCTTAAGAATAAATGCAATATTAAATTACATCATCTTTTTAAAATAAATTCATTAAATTCTTTACTTATCCTTAATTATAGTTGGCGCGATTTATTCGGTATTCCGTTTACCGTTAGCGATTAGATTTAGCTTCGAGTATAAAATGCATCATAAAATAATAAAAGAACTAGCTAGATCTGAGTTTCTCAGCTTCTCTTCTTGAAAATGAATAAATCATAAATAAACATATACATATATATATAGTTATAAATAAATAAATAAATGAAAGATCCCAAATAAGATTAAAAAAAAATACAATGAATTAATATAAATCTGAGGATGAAGTTGCACATAGAGCAACAAAAGTGGTACCTTGCATCAAGAGACTCAATTATGGTGGAAAGAGCATGAAGCACAATTGGGTTAGGGTTTTCTGCATTTTCTGTTATTTTATCCATTAACGACTTTGCTCTACTCATCACACCCTCGATTTCCTCCCACCCACCCACTCCATTCTCCGCCAGCTCAGCCACCTTCACCTCCACGCCGGCGCCGGCGCCGGCGGTGGCGCCGGAGGAGGACTGTGGCACAGCCTCGAATTCCCTGGCAGCATCCATTAATTTAATGCTAGTAATTACTATTTACTACTCACAGAAAAATTGTGTATTAAATTCTAGTCTATCTCTCCGAATACGCTTACAGCTGTGTGTGTGTGTGATTTTAGAGTGCTGATTTGGTCGTATTTATAGGTGTTTCCGACGGTGGGGGGTGGGGCGGGGGTGGGTGGGGGGTGGCGTGTAGAATTACTGCACAATTTTTTCTTTTATATTTCATATTACATTTGGCGCTCTGTGGGCGATGATTACAATGCTGATTTTGTGGGTCCCACCTGAACAATTTTTGTTTTTTTTTTTTCTCTTTTTTTAAACAGTAAAAGTAGTATTAAAAATGTTATTTAACAGTCTATTCTATGTTTGAGGATTGGATAAAGTTTTGAGACAAAAATATACTACTATTTAATATTTATAGTAATTAAACTATTTTTTACAAAATTAATCTGGCTTGATTTAGGCACGATCTTATATTATTTGCATAATGTTTGAATAATATTTTGTGATTTATATATTTTTTAATTCATTAATCTGGTTTGATACTGGGAATTGATTTATTATATTATGATACATTATTACGTAGGAAGTTTAGTCAATTTATACTAGATTTTTTAAATCAACACTTTGAGTCAATGTAATCAATCTTATTAATAAATAATAGGGTTAAATACAAAAACACCCATGTACTATGAACTTTGTATCATATACCCCTGTACTACACATAAATACAAAAACCTCCTTCACATTACATTTTTTTCAAAATATGACGAAAATACCCCTACTCAAGCGTGCGCGCGCGCACACACACACACACACACACACACACACACACACACACATATATATATATATATATATATTTTGAGTCATTCTCCAATATATATCATTTTCAGTGAATTTTAAGTGGAAATATTTGGTATTTATATTTTTTTTTTCTCCAAAACATTTAATTTCTTATATTTTTTTAATTTTCTAAATAAAACCTTTTATTTTTGTCATTTTGATTTGCTTCATTTTTTTTTCTTAAATATCTTCCGATAGTTCAAACATCCTAAGATTACAAACATGTTTACAATCCTATTACTGTTGAGGATTTGAACTACCGGAAGACATTTAAGAAAAAAATGAGGAAATTCAAAATAACAAAAATAAAAGGTTTCATTCAAAAATCTAAGTAATTAATTTTTTTAGAAAAAAATAAAAATATCAAAATTTACCAAGTAAAATTGACCGAAAATGTTAAAAAATACAGTGGAAAATGACTCAAATAAACCATTATATTTATAGGCTTAACAGGGGTATTTTCGTCATATTTTGGAAAAAATATAACAACATGGGGGTTTTGTATTTATGAGTAGTATAGGGATGTATATGATACAAAGTCCATAGTACAGGGGTGTTTTTGTATTTAACCCTAAATAATAATAGCATCAGATTAATAACATATTTTAGGGGCTATTAGTGAGAACTCCATCTAGCATTATTATAATGAACATGCCATGTCTAGCTCATTTTCCTTTATTAGTGAGAGTTCCATATTTTTTTTATTCTCAAATTTACCCTTCCTCTATTCACTACCTATTATACCATACTTTGATGCATTGTTTATTTTTATATTTTAATTCTAATTTTTTTATTTCTTATTTAAAAAAACTATTTTTAATAAATTTTTATTATTTTTTTTAATATTTTTTTTAGTGTATTTTGTGTCTTCAGTTAAAATAACTATATTTCAATAAAACAACTATTATTAAAACAACTACGGTTAAAAACAACTATATTAAACAACTGTTATTAAAATAGTTATGATTAAAACAATTATATATCTCCAACAACTCTCATTTATCAAAAAATCAACTATTTGTTAAATTAACTATTTATTAATATCAACTAAAAGGTAGTAAAAACAACTATACTGTTGTACAAAAACAACTATATTACTGTACGAAAACAACTATATGTCTGTAAATAACACCAACACAATTTCAACAAAAACAAACATTCATTATACTATTTGAACACAAAATTAGCCTTCAATATAAGAATTCAACCAAAATCTCCAACTAAGAAAATTGAGATTCGAGAATTGGGTTAAAAGAAAATCAGAGAAGAAGAACTACAACAATCAAATAATGTTGGCGGTGGTCTCAATTGAAATTTCAGACGCAATATCAACCCTAGCGCCGTTGTGTAGTCTCGTCATTCCTCCCTACCGAAATCCCTAACGCCGTCCTTGACGAGAGAATTCCATAGGTGGAGACTGCCTTCTTTTCGCGACGGTGCAGATAGGAACGCTGATGGGAGAGAGTAGACGACGGCGGAGACAATTGATCTACTGCCGTTGAAGTCGTATTGCCTCTCTAGATCATCGAGAATTGTAGCGGCGGCGGGATCGCAGATCCGAAGTCGGAGACGAGCAGTGACGATAGAGAGGGATGTACAACCAAATTTGTCGCAAGGTTCTGATGTTGTAGTGACGACGGCGCTGTGAAATCGGAGATGGTGGGGGCGGTGGCGACGTCGGGTGAGGCTGAATTTGTGGAAGATGGGGATCTGCGTGAAGAGAGAAAGAAGGGAGGCTAAGAGAGAGTGAAAAGAGAAATAAAATAATAGGTTGAAACAATTAGGTTAGTTTGAATAAGTGTGGGATAATATGGGCATAACAATTAATAATTTAATAAATAGATTTAATTATGATATGGGGGATTATGATTATGACTAATAAAGTAAAAGGGGGTGAATCCCCTCTAATATATCATAATGTATTGGGTTTTTTCACTAATAATCTCCATATTTTACTTCAGATGACATCAGCATATGACATCACCATCCCCCAATTTACAAGTCATCATGTGCAAATGGCCCAATTCAGTAGTTAATTGATAATAGTAATGGGCCCAATTAATAACTATTTCCACCTACCAATTAGTAGCCCAAATAAGTTGATTAGTAAAATTTAATTTCGCTCAAATTTAAAATTCAATGCCGACCCGACGTTTGTGGATCGGTTGATGGTTTACAACCGAATTTTTGGTTCCGAAATAAGTGGATTGGTTGATGGTTGACAACCGAATTTTTTGTTCCGAAATAAGTTGCTGGATTGGTATATCCATCACCTAGTTCACTTTCAAAAATTAAAATTTAGAGTAAAAGTATGCAAATTATGTCCAGTGTACCGTGCCATCATCTTTTATCAGTTCAAAATAATTAATTGTAAAAAAAAAAAAAAAACAGTTCTAAAATTAAAATTAATTCTAAACATGCACATTATGTCATAATATCATAGTTTCATACACCCATAATCAATCATCACTTCATAACAATTAAAAACAAATTAACGAAATTAATATTAAATTATAAATTATAATAATAAAATAATAAAATATTAATATAATTGATTCATCGATAATTATCGGTCAATCGACTTTTCGTGATATTAGAAACCATGAACCACCACAATTATATATTGGGTTGGTTGAAATTTTCGACCGATCTAACGCATTGTTTAAAAAACAATATTCGTACACAAAATACACATGTCATACTCAAAATATGGACATACAGTGTGCAGTTTGCTCACGAAATATATGCACAAACATAGCGCACATGAAACACACACAAGGCACACAATTTTTTTGTGTGAAAAATATTTGGATTTTGTCCAAAAAGGCGAAAACAATCCACAAGGAGAAATTCGAGATGACGATTGCATTTGTACTTGCACAGATTTTGTCGGAACATCTGGAAACTATGTTCAAAACGGAAACTATATAAGAATTAATAATAACTTGTAAGCAAAGTAATTGTGGACATGAATAAATTGTTTGAAGCGGATAACGACCTCAAGCTTTGATAATATACGTGCAATGGAATTATCTTAGGCTAAACGGAGGAGGACTCGGCATGTAAGAACACGGCGACGCACAAGATCGGCTTGGGATGCGGCTATCCGACGTTGGAGACGCCGAAGAAGAATCTTTATACCGTTATTTGCACGGATAGCTTCTCTTGCTAGACAACAGCCTTGTTCCATGTCGTCTATTGCCCGATCTTTAAAACCGTCTTTCGGAATGAATGGAGGAGGGCAAACCAGATTTACCAACATGTGCAATGCTGACATTTTCACGAGAGGTATGATTGGGAAATCGAAAAAATATATTTATAAATAGAAATGGAATCAAGTTTGCGGATAATACCTCCGGTTCAAAATTAGCTGGTGTATTTATTACATCCAAAACTACAGATATACCAGCTCGGCCATTGCTTAACGTTGCATTTATGATATCTTTTCGAATACACTGAATCAAAGTCAGTATACGCAATACTTCGATGATATATTGAAGAGAACCTTGTAGAGTACGTGTTAATTGTGAGGCCTACAAAACAAATAAATATATTAGGGAAACATGCGATATATACAGAAAGAGAAATTTCAATGATATTGAATCACACTTGGCACAACTCCAACAAAGTAATATGACCATTTGAACTTATGAATTTGTAGACAGTGGGCCAACGACAGTAGATAAATGTGGCACACGCGTATCCTATTGCACCCTGCATAAACATTAGTATGGTGTCAATAATATTATAAGAATAAAAATTAATCTTGAACATACTAAAAATCGGGAAAATATGTGAAAGCACAATAACCTGAACTGAAACAATTGTGACAACAAACTTCATTGGCACTCTTTTTCTAATTAATTATATGTACTTAAAACACAGATTTCATACTCAATTTATGCACATATACTGCACACGAAAGAAATGCGCACACATTTCGCACATACAATGCACTCACTTAGATTTACATTTCGCACATACAATGCATTCCCATATATATACACATACTGAACGAATAAATATACATGCAGAAAATGGAAATTTCAACGATACTAAAATCAGACCTGACACATCTCCAACATGGTAATATGACCTTTCAAACGTAAGAATTCGTCGATATCCTTGTTCTAGCTTCTCTAGTTCAGAGGAAGCTTGCTGATGTGGCACGATGGCTGCATTTGATTCGTCGGTCATCGATTGAGGAGGGCAGACGAGATTTATCAACAGATGTAGCGCCGGCTCAACACCCTTGAACATATTTGTCACAAGAAATGTGCAGTTATTGGGAAATTAATTAGCAAACCGAAAAAAAAAGGAATATAATAATAATTAAGAATCGAGATCATATACCTCTGGTTTAACGTCGGCTGGGGTCATTATTGCATCCAAAATAACAGCCATGCCGACTCGACCATCGCTTACTGTTGCGTTTATTATTATTTCACGGCTGTATGGAATTAAAGTTACGATATGCAATACACCGAGTACGTGTGGAAGCGAATCTTGTAACCTATATATGTTCTGTAAAACAAAAAAATAAAATTATATATATACATACTGAAAGAATAAATATACATGCAGAAAATGGAAATTTCAACAAACTAAAATCAGACCTGGCACATCTCCAACAAGGTAATATGACCTTTCAAACGTAAGAATTCGTCGACGGCATGCCAGCTCGTCGCCCTTGCAAAAGCGGGTCCCACTTTCTGATCCTTTTGTATTTTACGAAATACAACGTCCACGGCCTCGTTACTTAAGTCGAGTTGTCTATACGAAACCCTAACTTTCGAGACGTGCAAAATGGAATCCACAAACAAGTGGAGGTGTGCTTTCATGTACCGGTGCAGTGCAATGCATGTGCAGTGGGCTTTCTTCTGATTGGAAACATACTCTTGCAGATAACAAAGAAGCTTTCGGAAACCATCCTTTCTGACGAACGCACGGAAAGAAAAAGCGGACGAAATAAATGAACCGGCATTCTTGCTCGATAAATCGTCCCGACACTCGAGAAGCTCCAAAGCCAACTCCACAACTCTTTCGATGACGTTTGAAGGAAGATCGCACACGTGTTCCATTATGCCCTGCAAAAAAAAAACATAAAACATAGTATGTTATCAAACATTTGCCCACAGATCAAGAAAACCAATAGATACACATGATAACAAAAATTTAAAAAACCAAAAAAAAGAAAAAAAAAAAAAACTTATTAAATTACTAAAATATCATTGTTAATTAATTAACAGTGATAGAGGGCAAAATTGAAAAAAAGTTATGTGAAAATAATTACCTTAAACGAACAAATTGCGAATAAGAGCAAAGAGATACTGAAAAACGTTCCCTTATTCCTCGGAACGTCAACGAGCGTTTGCATGCCACCACAGTGCACGAATAATGTCACAAATTTTCGATGAGCCGCAAATTGACCAAGTACCTTCAAAATATCGAACAAATATAGCATACTTCTCGAAAACGGTACACCCTCGATATTTTTACTACATTTATTTAATAATACAATAGTAATATCAACCGCCTTCTCATGAACAAGAGGTTCGATACTCTCGATACGCTTCCCCATAACCATCAGACACTTAACACAGGCTTTCTCCCTTAGCTGCGTAAGTGAGTCGAAGCTCACCACGATCAACAAATAGAACGGCAAACTTCCTTGGTATTATATTACTAACTAGTTATGTTTACTTATTAATAGTATTTTTTTATAGATAAATTACACATTTCATACCCAAAATATGCACATACATGGCAATCTGTGCACGAAATAAACACACAAATTGCGCACACAAAAACACATGCAAACACACTGCGCACACAAAAAACACATGCACACATAAATGCTTGAGTGTGAAAATTTTAAATTTGTCCAAAAACAATCAATAACGAACTAATTAAAAGAAACACATGCACTTCACAGCCTCCTTCAACTTGCGTTTCAACGGCGATATAAATTAAAAGAAAATGATTACCTTAAACTTACTAATTGTGAATAAGAGCAAAGAGAGACTGAAAAAGGTTTGCTTATTTCTCGGAACGTCAACAACTCTCTGCATGCCACCACGGTCAACGAATAACGTTACAAATTTTCGATGAGCCGCAAAGTGACCGACTATCTTCAAAACATCGAGCAAGTATAGCATACTTCTCGATAACGGTACACCCTCGCCAATTTTAACAGATTTCCTTAGTAACTCAATGGAAATATCAACCGCCTTCTCATGAAGAAGAGGTTCGATACTCTCGATACGCTTCCGCATAACCATCAGACACTTAACACAGGCTTTCTCCCTTAGCTGTGTAAGTGAATCGAAGCTCGCTACGTAAACTTCGCCGATATCGGTTTTCGGCATAGTTAACTTCCTACAAAACGCGAAAAAAATAGTCGAATAAGTATCTAGATATATCAAGTTAATTAATAAATTAAATGATCATGTATGTACCATATGAGAGCAGCATCAAATGCAGTCTTTTTTAGTTCGCCCAAAACCCCACTTCGTAAATATCGCATTAGCATAACCGGCAATCCGTACGTCGTTAAGGCATCTTTCATTCGTAGGCAACCACTAAAAAGTTCGATATTAAAATGTTAGGAAAAAACCCACATAACAAGACTATACAAATAGTGAAAAATATAATTTATATACACAAAAAAAAAAAACTAATTAATAAATAAAATAAAAGGGTTTAAGAACATACAAAGTCAAGCATACTGAAAGAAGTCCAACGGAGTATGTGTGCAATATTTCGACATCTAATATTTTCCGTATCGTTTCAATATTCTCCAATTTGAGATGAGCACCGGAATTTCTTTGTGGCTCGTCCATCGCCCAGACTAAGAAATTATCGACATAACCACCAGACACTTGACACAGGATTTCTCCCTTAGCTGCGTAAGTGAATCGAAGCTCACTATGTAAACTTCGCCAATATCTTCATTGGTTTCGGGCACACGTGTCCCATTGTCCGCTGCAAAGAACACCGTACGGTGTCAAATAGAACATCAAACTTCATTGGTATTGTATTGATAAATAATTATATATACTCATTAATAATATTTTATAGATAAATTACACATTTCATACTCAAAATATGCACATACATGGCAGTCTGTCCACGAAATAAACACACAAACCGCGCACACAAAAACACATGCACACAAAAATGCTTGAGTGTGAAAATTTTAGATTTGTCCGTAAATAATCCATAAGGAACTAATTAAAAGAAACACATGCACTTCAAAGCCTCCTTCAACTTGCGTTTCATCGGCGATATAATTAAAAGAAAATGATTACCTTTGAACGTACTAATTGTGAATAAGAGCAAAGAGAGACTGAAAAACGTTCGCTTATTCCTCGGAACGTCAATAAGTGTCTGCCTGCCACCGCGGTCAATGAATAACGTTACAAATTTTCGATGAGCCGCAAAGTGACCGAATACCTTCAAAAATCGAGCAAATATAGCATACTTCTCGATAATGGTACACCCTCGCCAATTTTAACAGATTTCCTTAGTAACTCAATGGAAATATCAACCGCCTTCTCATGAAGAAGAGGTTCGATACTCTTGATACGCTTCCCCATAACCATCAGGCACTTAACGCATGCTTTCTCCCTTAGCTGCATAAGTGAATCGAAGCTCACTATGTAAACTTCGCCAATATCTTCATTGGTTTCGGGCACACGTGTCCCATTGTCCGCTGCAAAAGAACATCGTATGGTGTCAAAAATATTAAAAACAAATCTTGAAAATCCTAAAAATCAGAGAATAGGTGAAAACACTTATGAATAAGCATGAAGAGAGAAAGTGTTTGAGCAGTTCTTGGAACAACAAGTAGTCTCTGCATGCCACCACGATCAACAAATAGAACGGCAAACTTCCTTGGTATTGTATTTCTAGCTAATTATATGTACTCATTAATAGTATTTTTTATAGATAAATTACACATTTCATACTCTAAATATGCAAATATACTGCACGCGAAAGAAATGCCACATAATGCACTCGCCTAGATTTGAGTGTGAAGAATGTTCAAATTTATTCGAAAAGAATCCACTTTTAGATGGAGCATCCATTCCATAGGCAAACGTGATCCGAGCTAGAAGAAAGCAGAAGTTGGGCCCCAGTTCGATAATGAGACTGCAGAAGTGTCACACGAGATCGATGAGTAATAGAACTCTCCGTCACACTTTTGCTGTCACCGTTATAATCGAACACTTTCACTTTCCGAGAATATCCACACACGGCAATTTGAGAAGAATCTATGAGGAAAGCGATACTAGTTAAAAGTGGCTTTAATTCGTCACTGAAACTTGTCCTGAGTCTAAATCTACTATACAAAAAAATTTGATCTTTGTGGTTTACATCGAACCCTTCACCGTAAAGACTTGTAAATTCAAGTGTGTCGATCCTTGCTGTCACATTAGATCAAGAATCGGGGATCTGTTTGGCTCGGGGCAGACATTAGGGTGCAAGAGCAAAAGCGGGGGTAAAGTCATAACTGGAACTGATCTTTGGTGGTGTTCCTGCTTCGAATACTGAATGACGAGAGAATGTAATGTAATTTTCTCGGGGGTAAAGTCGTAATTGGAGTTGAGTCTTCTTTCTGATGGTGATAACTCCACAGTCTCCTTTAACTTGCTTTTCATTGGCAATACTGAAGTGGATGATAATGGTGGCTCTTGTGCATTTTCCGAAGCTAAAAGGTATCTTTCTGAACTGTCCTTTAATTTTATTTTAATCTTTTTGTGACCACATGAAGAATGTTTGAATTTATCCAAAAATAATCCACAAGGAGCACGTTGAGATGGCCATTGAATCTCTACATTTATAGATAACATTTAACGCTTATTTATTGATAGTATTTAAAATAAGATACACATTTCATACTCAAAATATGCACATACGCTGCACGTGAAAGAAATGCACAGACGTTGCGCTCACTTTCTGAAGTGCGGCTGCACTTTCTGCTAGACCAGTGCTTGAAGATAGTCATGCATAAGGAGCATAAGTTCTCTGACATTTACATGGAGGTACAAATAATTCAAACAAGCATTATAGAATATACCAAACTGATGTATAAGCAGAAAACCTCCTTCTGTGTATATCAAGAACCAGAATTTTCCAGTTATCATATTTGGTACGACCAATTTGGTGCTCTTAAATTGTACTGAACAACAAACTGTGAGGGCTCAAAAGGAAGGTATATATCTTATATAAGAAGCCATATGTGAGCTCCAACATCAAATTGGGCAGCCGATAAAGAATTATCCAGAAAAAAAGAAAAGTAATGTACCAACTTTTTTCATTTGTATGGATCTTCATGACATCTTATTCAAGACGAATGATTAAACAAATTGTTTTTTAGATTATCGACTTTTGGCTATAACAGTTGAAGTGTTGAAGAACCAAAACATAAGACACTGAGATATAAGAAGAATTGAACAAATAAGTGAAAACACAATTACCTGAAACGAACCAACTGTGAATAAGCAGGAAGAGAGACTAAGCAATGGTTGAGCATTTCTTGGAACATCAAGCAGTCTCTACATGCCATCACGATCCACAAATATCTTCATCAGTTTCAGATACTATAATAGTCTTTGACTGCTCCAGATCGCTAAGAATATTATTTAATTAAATTCCTAAAAACAGCAAAAATGTCACATGGGAATCTAGATCAAGTTAATAAATGATAATGGATTAAGTATGTAATAACAAATAAAAGTAGTGATCATGGAAATTTGTAATAACAAAATGTTACGACATGCAGGAGGGTAAATACATGCCAAGACTTGAACAGAAAAGAAAATGGAAAAACGAGCCCGTTGAGAAATAAATAGTAAATAAGAAAATAAATGGAACTTATGACAGTATAAGCAGCTGAAATCGTGGTAATAATACATTGATAAAAATATTTGTGCCAGCTGTATACACACCTCCCAAATTAGCGAACAATCGAAGAGAAACACTGTAGTAGCTGTCTTAGCTGATACATAATATCTAGTATCAGTTAAGAACTTCAAAGATATCAATCGAAGGAATCCATCATACTCCTGCATAAAGATAGACAATAATCAAAAGTTTAGCACCTCTGTGCACCTGAGAGGATTTGGGAAAGAGTAAAACCTGTTGGCATATTTAGCAAAGGAAAAAAATCAAGTACCTGAATAAGATTCCCAATAAGCCCAAGGTCATTAGAAGACCTGTAATTGTTTGTCGAGGAATGATCTTCGTCTTTCATGTATCTAAATATCCACGAAAAAAGAAAGATATAAATACATATACATATATGAAAACAGTTACTAAAAGTAACTCTTGTATAAAACTAAAAACAAACAAAAGTTTGAAGAAGCATAAATACCATGAATTCATTTTTTTGTATTACAAAAAAGAGAGAAGGACAATTGTCGAGTGAGGAATGGATTAGGGAAGTCATGTGTGCAATTACGTAAGTCAATAAAAGACATGTAAAGATAAAGAGATATAGCTTAAGCTTAGTATATCATAAATCACGAACGTAGAATCATTACATTTGGCAAGTCTGTCCTTCGCGCCCCTATATAGGAGCTGAAAGTAGCGTACTTACTCATTCAATGACCTTTCTATATTCACTCTGTGGTTCTTTTCTTTTTCCCCCGTTTTCCTCTTGGCAGTTCAAGCGTAAAGGGTAAAGCCCTAAAAACCTAAATCAAATAGAAACTTTAAATGGAAATAATCGAGAAAAAACAGAAACTCTCCATAAAAAACATCAGCACGTGTACCGATGCGCACCTATGTGAACAAGACACGTGCACGAGAGACAACTTCCAAATGTGCGAAAAACAATCTAAGAGAATACATTAACTACAGTTCCGTTACGAATATCCTTAATTTGAGTTACCGATTTATTCGATTTTCCATTTACAGTTAGTCATTAGATTAGCTGCAGGAAATGACAGCAAACTGCATCACTTAATAACCAAATAAACGCTCAAATCACACTTGAGATCCTTATATAAATGCATCGTAATAAGCTCCGATTTTTCTGTTCTTAAATCTTCCCAATTTTGAAAATGGTTTCTCGAGTGATCCTTCCACTTTGATTGAAAATGAATAAATAATAGATAAATACACAGTTAATGAAACCTAATAAACACGATCCAAATGATAACAATTAAAAACCACCATGAATTACCTGGATGCGATTTGCAACGGGGCTAGGGTTCTTGGGATTCGACGAGATCTTGTCCATCAACGACTAAGTTTTAGCCATCAATGCATCAATTTCAACCGCGGACCCTCTCGATTCTCTCTCCGCAGCTCAGCCACCTCCGCCGCGGCGTCAATGGCGGACGGTTTGAGCTCGAATACCCTACCAGCATCCATTAATGCTAGTTACTCATAAAAAAATAAACGTATCAAAGTCAAATTGTGCAATAAATTTTAGTTTCTCTCCAAATACGTTTTAAGCGGGGAAATGAATCTGGCTGGTGTGTGTATTTAGTGTTTTTTTTATCATATTTATACGTGTTTCGGGCTAGGGGTAGGGGAGCGTCTAAAATGTACAATTGGTATAAGCGGAAGGTACTGCTACTTTTTTTCTTCTTCTTCTTAATTTCACTTGACTCCCCTTTCTTATCTGAGCCTTCAATTACTCCCCCTTGAGTTCAATTTCCTATCAATTATGCCCTCATTAAGCATGTACAATATTTATTACAACTACGAAATATTAAGAACTCGTTTGGTTACCGTTATAAGATTTTATGGACTAAATAGTATGGGCTAGTAATATGTTCGATTGGCAAAATTTAATATTTTTCAAACTCACTACTAAAATTATTAAAATTCGCTGTTAAATGTTATTATTTCATTAAATTAGTAATATCCTCCCTCTGAGATTAATTTCATACGAGTGACTAAACAAGTAAAAAATATTTTAAATTACATGTTAATTTTATTAACTTAAAGGTTTTATAAACAAATTACGTATAATATTTAATACAAGATCTAATACAATGAACCGAACGTCTTAATAAGTAAATAATTAATTACTCAACAAAGGGTTAATTCAATTTCATCTAAACCAATCTAATTCGATATAGGTAACCGAACGAGCCCTAATCTAATTTAACTTTTTATTCTTTACATGTAACGAGTTCGTGTTTGTTTTGCTTTAAAAAATTGAAAATTTCTCAAATAATTTCTAAAGTTTATCTCTCTTGAATACATGATTTGACTACTAAGGTAAAAAAATTTGACTGCTACAGTAAAAAAATCTTCATAAAAAATTAAACAAACATCACTTTATTTATCAAATTATTCATTTAAAAATACATTTTTTCAAACAAGTTTAGACATGATTTGACTGTTGCATAGTATTTTATCTAAATCTCATGTCATAGAGTTAAAGGATACATGCTTCCCACACATATCTTAAATCCTTATTATTTTATTTAAGATTTATAAAACTTCGTCTATGATAACATCAACGGCCCCGCGGAAAACAAATATAGTGTATCTCGGTCTTCACGACATGAAATCTTGGCTTCGGTTATTGCTTTTGGGTGTGGCTGTAATTACAAATACCACAGGATCCTTAAAGTTATTTTAATATACATTAGGGTTGTAGGTGTAATTTATCCTATAAAACAATATAAAACTGAATACCACACCGAATTAACACTTCGTTAATCGGCATATATGAATTTTCGTTTGGTTTGATTCAATCGGTTTACCGACCAAATGAACACCCCTAGGTAAATTTAACATCGTAAGGGTGGATGCGTAAGACAATACATAATGGAGGGGATGATTATAATTATGTAAACAAGAGGTTTTTTTCGTAATTACACCTTACCTAAGGGATGACCGTAATTTGCAATATTATTTATTATTATTATTTAGGAAAAAAAAGCAAAAAAAGAGGGAAATGATCGAAAGGAGATGAATAATTCAGTTGAGCAGGTAACTCAAAAACCCTAGCCACCATTCACCGCCCCGCATATATTTGAACTGGAAAACCCCTCTTTAAACCCTTCTCTCTCTGTCAATTTATCACATTAAAAAACGAACCTTCTTTTCCAGACTCAGTAACAAAAATCCGCCATTCTAGAGAGAGAAAATGCCGCTGGGAGAGAGACACAGCGGAGACAAGAGCGAGTCTCGGTACTGCGGCGTGGAGACGGATTTCGACGATGACATGCCGAACCTCCTCTCCCTCAACATCCATGGCGGCTTCGATTTCGTCGTTGCTACTCTGGTTAGTAATCTCTGCATTTCCTTGTTGGTTCTTTTACCGTGGTTTAAATTTGTATGTCATACTTCATTGGCTAGATTAGTTCGGAGTATTTCTAGTTTTTTTCATGCCAGGTATTTTTTTTTTCTCAATTATGCGAGCAATTTAAAAAAAAAAAACAATCAACTCAAAATACTGGTAAAAATGTTAGTGAACACTTGCTATAAGTTCATGTCAATTTGATTTGGCCGGAAGTTAGTTGTTTATGCATTCATGAATGTACCTATTTTATGACTGTATACAGGGGTGATCAATTAGTCAATCATGAATTATTTTTTGTGTGAGCTAATGATCAGTAAATTACCTTATAGATTCATGTACTAAACAGTCTCTGGTTACATGAATTTGGTGCATATGTTCGTGCTTAAATGTGCAATCGTCTTTTCTTAAATTTTATTCTTCATTGTGCATGTTTGAGAAGGGTGTTTCAAATTGATTACGATGATCAAACCTTGGAGTTGAGAGTTACACTCAACTTACATACTAAGGTGGCGATGATGGGCCTTTGATTAGATTATTACTGTAGTACTAAAATGATCTGTTTTCATAAATGATGTTGTCGAAACTCAATGTTTAATATTCTATGACAATTTATCAGTCAACTTAAAACAAAGTATTAGATGACCAATTTTTAGGAAATTGAACTATCTGATTTTGATCTCATTAGGACTTTACGTTTTTTTGGTTTCATAAGAAAGAAAATGTTTCTTTTTCTCATGCAAAAAATTGTAGAATGTTTCTGGTGGCCAATTAGCCAGTCATACATCAGCCGAAAGGCTGCCGATCTGTGTGAATGGTCAGTATGCACACCTAAATTAATATGTTGATAGCCTCCTATTAAGAGACTGTAATTTCTCATTGAGGTTATTAACTACAACTGACTTGTAAGAACTAAAGAATAGTTATTGATTTTTCCTATGCAACTTGTACATGTGACCTCATTATTGTATCTTCTAAATAGTGAATTACTTCATTCCTTTCTTTTTAAGGGACGTTTGAGCAAAGAAAAAAAATCATATTATGTGTCATTCTACAAATTCAATGTTAAACAAATTTGTTTTGTCCAAATGGGTAATTTTGCAAATACTCTTAAGGAATTTCCCCCCTAAAATCAAGGCTATTTCATAGCTTCCTTAATTGATGTGCATATACCTCAAACGTCACCTAAAAAGAAATAGAGACGACATTATGAAGGTTTATATATTTCTTCTAATATTACTGATTTGACTGATATCATCACCATAATTAGTATTAGTCGTAACGTGAGACCTTCAGAGAAGCGAATAATATCATATTTGTGTGAAAAAATAATGTTTAATGTTTTATGTCTTAATATTGATTTTTTGCCAGTAGCTTTGTGGTCAATATCGTAATCATGATTTGTGTTTAATATATAGTTGGTTCTTACGATAGCGTACAAAGTAATGGGTTGAGATTCTATCTGCAATGTCCATGGCAAAAAAAAATTTGTGTTTGTCTAAATTGCCTGCATATTTATGGATCATTAATGTTGACCATGAAGCAAGCTTGGTGTTAACGGGAATCTTACTATTCTTTCTTTTGAGCAACTTGCGCTTATTTAAATTTCATGATGCAGATGGATCCTAATTATAGGCCCAGTCTAGTCGATGAATGCACTAGCAGATCAACTGCTCTGCCATTTGCTGGTTCAGACTTAGTCCTAACCCCTTCCCAATGGAGCAGTCACGTCGTTGGTTCGTACCTCTTACCTGACTGCTATTGTTCACCATTCCAAATCCTAAACTTTGTAATTAAACCACCCTATATTTGTTCCTTCTTATTCATTGTAGTAAATAATCTCATATATAACATTTTGGCTTTATTTGATCCTCGAACTTTAGTAAGATGATTAAGTGTTCAATTTGAAAAATTTAACCCTTAATTTTAATAATGCTTCAATTGGCGATCAACTGGAATTTCATTAGATACCTGTCCCAGTTTGAGTTTATGTTTTCGGATAAAACTCCATCGACTAACTTTTCTTGTTATCCAGGCAAAGTTAGTTCGTGGATTGACTTGGATTCTGAAGACGAGACACTCCGAAAGGACTCTGAAATTGCTTTGAAACAAGAAATAGCCTGGGCTTCTCATCTATCTTTGCAGGTGAATTAAGACTTAGGAATCGTTTCCCTGTTCTGTGAACAATGTTGCCCTTCACATTATTGTGAATGCTGGACTGTATTACGTCCACCTGCATGCTAATTATTCATATGTTTCAGGCCTTTATAAGTGTTCCATCGATAACATACTTTCTTATCGTGCATTTTATCAGTCAGCATACTTAATCTACGTTTTTCGCTTGCAGGCTTGCCTTCTGCCTACTCCCAATAGAACTTCTTGTGCTAATTATGCAAAATGTTTGAACCAGATATTACAGAACTTAGCCAGCATGCAGGTACAGTTCGAACAATGTCCCAAATTTATGTCAATAATCTGTATGAGTTTCTTGTATTGATTATTATATGAGTTATGCGTATGCCCTTTTCCCTTTGTTCTTATCATTTGCGTCCATGTTAAAGTTGTGGCTTAGGATTCCATTGGAGAAGTCTGAGGATGACACAGACTCCAAGAACCCAGATTTCATGGTGAGTAATGATCATTTTACCTGACTTTCATACCACAATGGCTTCCAGTTGGATATTTATATTTCCGACGAATGAGTTCGAGTCTCTACACCGTTTGTTTTTATCCTTTTCATTTTCGATTTCAGATAACCAATTTAATTTAGCTCTTTGTTTTAGGTTGTGCTAATTGAACTCTAATCTGACAATAAACCCTTTCTCATCTTTTACGAGTTTTGCAGTTGTGCTTCAACTTGGTCTTTAATCTTGCGTGATGTTTTTTTTACTCTATAGGTTGATAGGCAGATTGATTCATGGGAAATGTGGAATTCGTTTCGGCTTCTTTGCGAACATCATAACCAGCTTTCAGTTGCACTTGATATCCAGTGAGCTTACAGTATCATTTGATTGCCAGCAACTCCTCAGTTTATTATTTATATTCTTGGCGGCTGACAAGTCTTTGTTCTTATTTTGATCAGGTCCTCATTACCTTCAGCTTCTTCAGTTGCACGTTGGTTTGGAGAGCCTGTCAGGGCAGGGATAATCAATACTAATGTATGTATAACTGTAAACTGTACATATTCTACTGCTGTAACTATAAACCTAATATGTTCGCGTCTAAATTGATGTACACAATTTTTTGCTTATTTATGAGTTGTTGTTTTGCCAGTCTTTTCTAACCAATGCACGGGGCTATCCTTGTTTGTCGAAGAGGCACCAGAGATTAACTACTGCATTTTTCAACCACTCTATTCAGGTAGTGTGGTGAAACATTCTCTTATTTTAATTTTACATCCTTTTAGGATGTCAATGTTCTCTGGCACTTAGTGAGCTACTACTAAAACCATTTTCTTATAGATGCATGGTCTTTTTTGTATTTACTAAAAATGTTGTAACTTGAATTTGCGATCGTTACTAAGGGATTTGGTAAAAGTTAGTGTGATTTTGTTAATTTGATTTTTTTACTGTTCCTCGGCCATGGTCATGTCGCACATATCTCTATTTAGTTTTCTCACGTGGTCTAAGAAAATGAGTAATCTTAATGCTGTCCTCAGCAACTAATCATATGTCAATATGTCATTTAATATTAGTGATTGTGAATTTGGAGTATTTTAACATCTTAATTTGGTACTTTGAGTCTATGTACCTTATTCCTGCTGGTATTATACAGATAGTGATATCTGGCCAACCAGTACACAGTGCAGTGGGTGCTTCGGGATCACGTGCTGATAATAACGTTAAAGGTAAGGTTTTACGAGTTAATTTGAATTTCTCTTTAGTGTGACACGAATTATTTCAGTCAATTGATTTTGTTATTTGAGATGCGTTCTTCTACCAACTTTTTATTATTTCCTATTTATGTTAACGACGAGTTTTTGTTCAGATGGGTTGAAACACCCCCTAAAATCTTACTTAGATTATGTTGCTTATCTGTACCAAAGCATGGATCCCCTTCCCGAACAAGAGCGCTTTGAGGTAGGTACCTCACATCCCAAGCTTCAAAAGTGGAAAAAAGGAAAAAAGAAAAAGAAAAAAAGAAAGAGAAAACACTTGCTGATTGTGTTTCCTAATATTTGTATTCTGTTATTATTTTTGTTTAACTTCTTAATTATGATGTACCAGCTTGGCTATAGAGACTATCTGCAATCACCCTTGCAGGTGAGTTTCTATGTTACTTCAACTTTTTATCACCACTATTCTTCCACCTCGGGATAATTTTTCTTCTTTCCTTTGTAAAGCATGTTCCCCTAACTCACCTATAATTATCTTTTCATCAACTTTGAAGCCTCTCATGGACAACTTGGAGGCCCAAACATATGAAACATTTGAAAAGGACACTGTAAAATATAGCCAGGTATGCCGTAATCTTTGATAAATTTCAACTATTACATGTTGGTGAACTTGGTAGTCATTTATTATATACCGGAATGTGAGTAAATAGTCAAAAGGCCAAAACAGTCTTCCCCTTACAAAAACATCTTCTCTGTTGAGGTACATGTGTTTGCATGCACGCCTGCCGTAATATTGGAAATCTTTACATTTTGGTGAACTTAGTTTATGTACAACGTTTACTGTGTGTATCTGGCGAAGTATTTATTTTATGGATGTCCAGCGCACCAGAATGTGGGTAAACTGTGAAACAGCAAAAGTCTTCATCTTCTTCTGAGACAACTTAATCTGTCAAGGCATTGGATTTAGCATTATTTGATTCATCAAATGATAATCTCTCTTTTCGTTCCCAGTGGAAACATAGTTTTTGATTTCCATTTTCCATATTCTACCTAGTCCTATTCTTTGTTAAAATTGAAGTTGAAAGCAACATAATTTACTCATCCATGTTTGAAGTTTAGTGCTTTACTAGTTTATGGATTTTACATTTGTCATCATATCATGCAGTACCAAAGAGCAGTTGCTAAGGCTTTGGTTGACAGGGTCCCAGATGAAAATGCTTCTACAGTGACGACTGTAAGTTTTTTAATTTATGTGTATAAGCATTTACATTCTCTTAGATAACTGCCAGTATCATATCTATTGGACTAAGCTGGACCGTGTTATGACATAAGCTGGACCTTGTTATGACATGATCTTTTATCTGTTCTAGGTATTGATGGTTGTGGGTGCTGGACGAGGGCCTCTTGTCAGAGCATCATTGCAGGTCTTTTCTTTTGCCATCTGCCAAGAGAATATGTGGGATCAAGAAAAGAAGTTTCAGTCTGAAGCAGACCCAAAACCTTATCTTTTATCTTCTCATTTTATTTATTTTTTAATTGATAGGCTGCTGAAGAAACTGAACGCAAATTAAAAATTTATGCTGTAGAGAAAAATCCAAATGCAGTTGTTACACTTCATGTAAGTTGTAGAATTTCTTGTCTTTGTCATCTTTTTATTATATTATTATATTTTTTTTATTTTTTTTAATAATTTTATTACTGGTTTGGAGTTTTAAGTGTTGTGTCAAACTATGAAGGTTTATTTAATAAGCTGGATTTAACGTTTATGTCTATTTGTGCTATGTGTAAGTTACTAAATCAACTTATAATTTAATGTCTTTAAAACAGAGTTTGGTCAAGCTAGAGGGCTGGGAAAAAACAGTCACGATTGTTTCCAGTGATATGCGGAATTGGGATGCACCGGAGAAAGCTGACATATTGGTACCTCTCTAATTGTGCAGTTAATCGCAAAGAAAGAAGCAAATGAGATGTTACATTATTCTGGAAAATGTAATTGTTAATATTCTCATATTTCAATTTAATGTAGGTTAGCGAGTTGCTGGGTTCTTTTGGTGACAACGAGCTCTCACCTGAGTGTCTTGATGGAGCCCAAAGATTTTTGAAGGAAGATGGAATCTCAATCCCATCATCGTAAGTAGGCTTCCTTCTCCCACCTTTTGTTTTTGAAGGGCAATTAGCTGTTGGTACAGATGCTCTACTTACGCAGTTATTCTGTGTTGTTTAATGCCTGTTAAAGTCTAGTCCTGGTTTTTTAGCATTTTTTTAATGCTTATTAAGTATTGTTAGTGTCCAATATGAATAGGTATTATATGCCCATTGTTCACTTAAGAAATGTTTTGTTCTTGGAAGCAAATTCCTGAGAATGTCTTCTAGCAAAACTTGTGCAACATGCTTTTCCATATTTAAAGGCCAACTGCAGGGATATATTTGCAGCAAATATCTCTCGAGTGTATTCTATATTGTGTTGTCTTCAATTTGAGACATATTTGTAGAAAAACAACCTAAAAGTATATTATGGATTTAATAGCAACCGTTACTAATTCCTCTTTTCTTTGGAGTTGGCAGGTATACGAGTTTCATTCAACCAGTGACTGCCTGCAAACTTTACAATGATGTAAAATCCCGAGCACTCCGATTCTCCTTAATTTGTTTTAACTTCCTAAAAGTCAATCACTTACGTTTCAATCTTTGTTTTGGGGATGACACAGATCAAGTCACATAAAGATCTCGTTCACTTCGAAACCCCTTATGTGGTGAAGCTGCATCGCGTGGCTAGACTTGCACCTACTCAGCCAGTTAGTTACTTCTCCTGCATTCATATTGTTATTTGTTCAGTGGAAACATTTTTTTCTCTCCTTTATTTCGTAGACTGATTCTACTACTTTACTTTTCGTTTTCCTTAAATAGGTCTTCACATTTACCCATCCAGAATTCTCAACAAAGGCAAGCAATCAGCGCTATAAAAAGCTTCGTTTTGATATACAGAGTGACACTGGCTCATCCTTGATTCATGGTATGTGATTCTGAAGCCTTGCTATTGCTCTATATTTGCTGAATCACAACATTACATGTTTTTCTCCAACTATTGCGACTTGAAAATGACGATAACAAAGAAATGATTTTATATTGCTCGATCAAGTTCTCAACATTTTCATCTCCAAGAGAAAATAGTTACTTGTTGCTAAATTTAACTGTTAGCTTTAACACATAAGTGTTGTTATATTGGCTAATTCATTCTGGGAGATGAGATGACAGAGATATAAACAGAGAATACTATGGAAACAAATATGAAAGTATAGCATATTTTTATCTAATTATTGTATATATCTATCAAATGTCTTCACAAAAAGCATGTGGAATATTTTCGGTTAGCTTTTGTTCTTGTTCATCCGCATGAAAGCTGAGATTTGGATAGTGCTTTTTATGAATCCATCGAGAAAAGAATCCCTTGGTGAAGAGGTAAAATCACAGGGAAGGGAAATACCGAAAGGAGGTATATTCGCGAGGGAAAATGGGTACATAAAAACATACTTAAGTTTTGATCTCTAGTTTTGCTCTTGTGCAGGATTTGGAGGTTATTTTGATGCAATACTTTACAAAGATGTACATCTTGGAATTGAACCATCAACAGCTACCCCAAACATGTTTAGCTGGTACACGGTCCTTACAAATATATTTTAGCTACAATTATGTAGCAAATGTATACATAGATTGTGAGCTTAGGCTGTTTTTTCTTTGTTTATATTTCGTCTCTGAACTAAAGATATAATTGCTTTTTTTCATTTTTACGTATAAACAGGTTCCCAATATTTTTTCCATTGAGGACACCGATATGTATTCAGCCCGGTACTCCTTTAGAAGTTCATTTTTGGCGTTGTTCTGGTTCTACCAAGGTATCTTACCCCTCTCGTGTTTTTTTTTTGCTGGTTTAACTATCATCTTCATTTCGTATTTTTAACAATATTAGAACTGAATATTTTGGGTTGAAATGATGATGTAACAGGTTTGGTATGAGTGGTGTGTTGCTTCTCCAACCGCTTCACCGATGCACAACACCAACGGGCGTTCATACTGGGTCGGACTTTAAGGTTTTTTTTCTTCTTTTTTTTTTTCTTTTTTTTTTTTTAATTTATTTTTCTTTTTTTTTTTTTAATTTATTTTTCTTTTTCTCGAAGTATTGGATTTGATATGTACACAGACTGAAGACAAATTTCATTTGTTGTATACTACATCACATAGTTGATTATTTGTATGCCCTTTTTACGACAACCTTGTGTATGTATGCATGAACATTAGTCCTCTGTGGGCATTTTTTTTGGGAACTCATCAGATAATTATAATTCGAGAAAAATAAAATTTGTTGTTTCATATATATTACATGATATGTGAAAATGTTGATATTAGAATATAGAAAATAATTAAACTGCAGAATAACCCAAAATAATGCTACTACTTTTTCTACCCAAAAACCGAAAATCAATAGTATACAGCTTAGTTCAAGATCCTTCCACACAATATTACTTAAAAAAAGAAAACATCACTTTCTTCAGAATACAAATAAATATATTTTTCCCTCAAAATTTCCTGGAGAAATAGATTAACTATAATTTAACTACTCTTACATCAATTATTTACTATAATATATTGTTTATTCTATTGGAATATGAATTATAGGAACAAAAACAAATAATTAAAACCAATTCGTATTATTAGTTAGGGTAAATTACGAAAACCACCATTGACCCGAATAACGAAAAACACTCCCACCTATACGTAATAACTAAAATCATCATCTGATCCACTATTGATCGAGTTTTTTAATAGAAAATGTGTACAACCTATTATACCTTCTGTTAGGTACGTGATAAATAAAAGAAAATATCTGAAATTGTGTAAAATCTATTCTCTGGAATAAAAAAAATCTATTCTCTGGAATAAAAAAAAATCCGAGAAAAGTCACACTGAAAGGGGTTGGTTGGTGTAAGACTGAAACAAACCTAAGGGGTTTTTTGGTAATTAAAATAGATGGGGGCGTTTTTCTATATTTAGCCCAAGTTAAGGGGGGTTTTCCGTAATTTACCCTATTAGTTAATGGGCCAAAATCTGGCCCAAAAATGCAATGTCATGTGAACGAATAATTCATTATCTTCATATACATCGTCCTAATTCAAACCCTCGCCTCTTTCTTCTTCCTCCATCCCCAAATCCCACAGATCGGATAATTAGAAACTGATTTATATAAGGATTTAACTGATAATTCGATCTTAGGGTTTCGCGATTCTCTCTTCTTCACCGGAATTCGAAAATTAGGTTCAATTTGTTGTAGGATTTGAAGGCGCGCTCGTACAATGTACAACGGAATAGGGTTACAGACCCCTCGGGGCTCCGGCACCAACGGCCACATACAGTCGAACAAGTTCTTCGTGAGGCCGAAGACGAACAGGGTCACAGATTCGAGCAAGGGATTCGAATCGGGTCAAGGAATGGCGGGCGTGACCCGGAAAGCTAATAAGGAGATACTGGAGCACGATCGCAAGCGTCAGATTCAACTCAAGCTTCTCGTGTTGGAGGATAAGCTGGTTGATCAGGGGTATACCGATGCTGAGGTGGCAGAGAAGCTCGAAGAAGCGAGGAAGTCGCTTGAGGCGAAAGATGAGAACGAAGATGGGGGAAACTATGGCGGTACATCTGAAAAGTATGATTTTTTTTTTATTTAATTAATTTTATTTCTTTAGATCTGTTTAAATTGAAATGTTACTGTTTACATTGGTTACTTTGCTGCTTTTTTTAAACTATTTTTATGAAAAGTTTGTTGTTGTTTCTTTTCCAATTATCTCTGAAGTAGGCAGTTAACTGGACTAGTTCAAGGAATTTGCATCGTTGTTTCTTCCGGTGATGAATTTTGGGTCATTGTTTCTGATTATATTTTCTGGGTGATCAGGGTTTCCGAGACGCAGACCCATCAGATTGCTGCATTGAAGGAAAGGCAGATGGAAACACTAAAAGCTGCTCTTGGTATAGAATCGGAAGCTGAGAAAGAAAAGAAACGCCTTGAAGCTGAGGAGGCTTTGGAACTAGAAGAGGGTGAACTTAGAAACATCCACAAAAAGGATGCTGCTAACAGTCATAAGATTAAGCTGCATGAAAAAGATGCAAGAGATGACAAGGATGTGAAAACGAAGCGCCAAGAGAAAGAGAAAACCAAAAGAAGGCATGATGATTCCTCTGATTCCGATACCGTTGAGAAGAGGCATGAGACTAAGGAGAGACAAAAAAAAGGCAGAGGAGCTGCAGCTACCAGTGATGATGATTCTGATGTCGATATTAGGAAGAGAAGAAAAGAGTCTTCCATGAAAGAGTCATTGAAGAAAAACAGGAAAGCTCTGAAAAAACGTGGCAGTAGTTCTTCTGAGTCGGAATCTCAGTCTGAATCTGATTCCGGCTCAGGTTCGGAATCTGACCATGATAAGAAAATACCTCGTCGACGGTATGGTTCTGATGATGGGTATAATTCTGGTGGTAGATCTAAAAGTAGAAAGCAAAATGTAAAGAATCTTCCCAAAAGCAAGCGACACGATTCTGATGGTGATAGTTCTGATGAAGGCCGGGTAAGTCAAAAGTCAAAGAGCAGAAAACACGATTCTTATGAAAAAGACAGCTCCGATGATGACTCTAAACAGCGTCATAAGGGGAAGCAAACTGAGAAAAGTAGAGAAATTGACTCTGATGAAGGCCCGAAAAATAAGAGCCGAAGCGGGAAAGAGCCTTCCAAAAGCAGGCGGCATGATTCTGATGATGAGCTAGAGGAAGATGAAAGAACTCGGTCTAAGAAAATAACTCACCAGAAAACTCCTGTTGACAATAGTAGGAAAATGAGGAGTGAGAAACGAGAGGAAGTCGTTGGGAGGTATGGTCAAGAAAGTGAATCTGATTCTGATGAAGCAAATAAAAAGAAAACAGAGCGACATGATAGATACGAGTATGATGCTAGCCGTTATTCTGATGTTGAGTTTGAGGAAGATGAGAGAACTCGGTCTAAGAAAACGACTCAGCATCATCAAACCCGCAGACCACAGGACCCTTCTGCTGACTATCGTAGGAAAGACAGGAGCGATAGACACGATAAAGTCGGAGGGAGGTATGGTCAAGAAAGTGAATCTGATTCTGATGAAGCAACCAAAAAGAAAACAGAGCAACGTGATAGAGATGAACGTGATTTAAATGCTGGGGATGGTAGAAAAAATCAAACTCACGATTCTGGTAAGGATTATAACCGTAAGAGGAATGATTCCATTGAAAGAAACAGAGACAATGATAAAACCCGTGATAGAGTTGGAGGAGTTGAGTCCGTTCCGAAGAATAGAAGTGGTTATGGTGATGAGTCACGGGGCGACAGAGGTGGAGAGAAGGGTTATGCACCCGAAACTGATGACTGGGAGAAACTAAAGAACAAGGTTTCTGCTCGAGTAGACACATTCAAGAAATTGGAGCAATTGTCCAAATCAAAGGGAGATGGGTCTAGAGATAGAAGTGAAGATACGACGAGGGGTAAGAGAAAGACAGATGGAAGTTTGGATGAGCAGCAGCCTGAGCGGAAGTCGAGAAAGCTGGATTCGACGAAAGAAACTGGTTATGAGGGGACTAAAGTTTCTTCGGAGAGACAAAGCAAATCATACAAGCAACCTGTGGAAGATAATAGCAAAGATTCAAGGCCAATAATACCTGAGAAAAGGAGAGATAATCGGGACAATGAAGATGGCCAAAGTAGAAGAGAAAGAGGAGATGATGTGGCATATAAGAGAGATCGTGGAAGAGAGAAGGAAGAGCATGAGAGAGGTGACGTGGCATATAAGAGAGATCGTGGAAGAGAGAAGGAAGAGCATGAGAGAGGTGACGTGGCATACAAGAGAGATCGTGGAGGAGAGAAGGAAGAGCATGAGAGAGATGAGGTGGCATACAAGAGAGATCGTGGAAGAGAGAAGGAAGAACATGAGAGAGATGGCGTGGCGTACAAGAGAGATCATGGAAAAGAGAAGGAAGAGCATGAGAGAGATGACATGGCATACAAGAGAGATCGTGGAAGAGAGAAGGAAGAGCATGAGAGAGATGACGTGGCATACAAGAGAGATCGTGGAAGAGAGAAGGAAGAGCGTGAGAGAGATGGAGAATATGCCTCGAAGAGGGCTAGATACGATGAAGGATCTTCTAGAGGAAGAAGATACGACGATGGCAGCAACGATGACAGGCGATCCAGACACCGGTGAGATCAACAAATCTCATGACAGCAAGAAATGGTGAGTCATTGTAGTGGTGATATATTATGATACGGGACAACTTGTGTGCATACAGCTTTGCTCTTATAGAATACCTAGGAACTATTTTCTGTTAATAGGGGTTTAAATTTATTATGGATATTATTGTTTCTGAATCTTGATATTTGATTCACTTTACTGCAGATTGTACTTGGTACCTATTGCATATTGGAATGGAGTCATGGTGGGTCAGGCTGGCCTGTGGCAAGAAGGGATCGGACAACAGTTGTATTGAAAATTGTCGAACTCGTGTTGGAAGGAGCTTCCTTGCTCGTATGGTACTATATATCTATGGTTTGCTGTGTAAGAATTTAATATTGCTTTCGGATGTTTAAGGCCATTCTGTTTTGCATTTGTGGTGTCATATAGTAGTTGTATGATTTGGTTTGAAGATTGTTGCACTCTGTTATAAGAACTCCGCCTTTTAGGCTTTCACAAGTGCGAATCTTTGTTTATTAATGACCGAGGGTCTGTGTTTTTCTTTTTCTTCGTTCTAATTGTTTTGACATTTACCATTTTCAAACATGTACTTGAGTTATTGTTTTTTTTTTTCTTGAAATCCTGAGATTATTGTTTTTTTTTTTTTGAGGATATTTTAAAGCAATTTGTAATAAAAGAATGAATGCTAGAAGTTGATAGAGTCGTTAATTTCTGTTTCATATAGGTGGAATCGTGTTTTGGTATTATTTCTATACCACACCTGTTGAAGGTCTTTTGCTGAAGGTCTTTTGCTTACACCTGGTGAAGGTTACACAAATCAATGTGTATATATTTGTGCGTATATGAATGGTAGAGTTCTACCCATCATCAGATGTAGCATAGTATAACCCAGGGTTTAGATATAATGATGGAAGTAATATTTATTTCACATTTATATAAATCAAACTATCAGCACAAACTTGAGCAATAAAATCAAAGAGGATCATCATATAACTTTAAGTTGGATGCAATTACAGTTCAAAAATGCTGCAAAGAGAAAAAACAAAAACAAGAATAAAAAACCTCATAAAAATGACGAACCAACAAGAGAATCTTTTCTCTAGTGACGCTTTTTACCGCCGCCGCCGCCACCCTTCTTTTTACCATGACCTTTTTTACCACCTTTCTTCTTCCCTTTACCCATACCACCATGTCTGCCTTTATCTTCAACACGTGGGGCAGGGGCAGAATCTTTTAACAGATGTTTAACATTAAGTACACCGTTTCTGAAATCACCTTCACTTGACCTCAAAACTCTCTGCTCTGGCCTACGTTTTTGTACTACCTTTTTTGAACCACCGTTAAGATAGGCTCCAAATCTTCCAAGTATTGCACTCTGAAAAAAGACCGATTATTTCAATGCAACTCTGCTGTAACGAAAACATTCGAGTAACATAAACTGCAACGAATATTAAAACGAAAATAAAAAAATTGTTAGTATAACCTCTTGAGCTGTTTTTTCTTCTCTTTCCTTTTGTTTCTTCATTGTAACTCGTGCTACACTAAGAGGTAATCTCTGCTTCTTCGCAGGCTGTTGAAGAAAACGTAACATTTTCACATATGGTACAATGGAGCTTAGTGTGAAACGCAAAAGTCTAAGGATGCGATATATAATTACCTTTCCACCGAGTGAAACTACCTTCCTACTTTCCATGTCCTTTTTCTGTTTCCATGTCATATGTAAGACACCTGGATTATATAAAAGTTAACACGTTATCAATTCAACATTATCTGCAATGAATCTAACAATGCAAGAACCACATGAAGAATGATAGGCATAATTTTCACATTTTCCTCTTCAATAATTGCTACTATAATAAATTGTTATTCAGCCTTCGGATAAAATGGAATAAGGATTCAATTTGTACTTGATACAAATGATCAAAAGATTCTTTTATGTATTAATTGGTCGTAAACTTTAGCACTTCATTTTTATGCTCAAGAATTATCCAGCCATCATCATATTAATTGCTGTCAAAGGAACACTTAATTTTCAGATTTGAATTCATCCAATGACTGAAAAGATGTAAAAAAAAGCAAAAAAAAAAAATAACATAAACGTCTCTAGGAAATGTAATCAGAACCAAACAGAAATATATTAATTTGCCTGCCAACGAAAAATCAAATCATCACATACTATACACACACAAATTATTTTTCGACTCTCAAACATAGACGAATATTGTTGGAACCTGGAGTTAAAAAATTACTACATATAACAGAAAAGTTACCCCTTAAAATTAACATGCTTGATAACAAAAATACCGTAAAATGGGTCAGTGTAAATATCAAGAGACTTATATTACCCAAAGTGTCAATTTCTTTCTGGATGGACCTGATGTCCATTTTTGGTTCCTCGGAAGCCACATCACGAGATGAGGATCCTTTTTTGGCGTCTTGTCTCTTCATAGGCATTTCTACTTTCTTCTGCAAAATAAATTGCATCACAAAACATGTTTTAGCAAATAATATAAGGTAACTCGGAGAAATGGCTATACATGGAAGCAACACATTTCACCTAAATGAAAAGAATTTCTCAACGAAAAAAAGAGAGAAGAAATTAAGGATGCTATAGATTTTCACGAGATATATGGTGTCCTTTATAATTGTCTTCTTTTAAAATTAAGAAAAGTGGGCCAAAGTATAAGAAAATACATACTTAAGCAATTAAGAACAATTACTCTGCACCGTACACAACATAAACCAAAGCATAAACCAACGAGTGAAAGAGAAAAGGAGAATCATGAATGCCGTATCAGAATTCAGAGGTATTCCTAAAAACGAACTAAATATCTTTTGTCTTATACAAAAAGACCAATATTAAAATGTAAAGTTAACTTCACCATTATTTTGGACTTCTATTAAAGATTATTTTCCCAAGTGATATTGCACACACTGAATTGTTACATCTTTCATTACAGTTTTTTCCTGTGTCTGATTGCCTTGCACAATAAAACTAAATTAACTTATCCAATTTCAACAGCATCGAGGAGAGGCAGTAGAACTATATATCAACAAATTCAACAGTAATATTAACTAAAAACATGTTCTTTAGAATTTGCAGATATTTTCCAACGGCATCAGTTGAAACAGAATCGAACTGTACAGAAAGTTTGGCACACCATTTTGCCAAACCAAATATCGGACCTAATTAAAACAGTTCGTTTTCTCAAATTATTCCTTAATAATCGTTATGATTTTCGGGAATTTTTTATACGAAAAGAAAAGGAGAGATAAAAACTAATGGCTTCAATTCTACACACATCAGCAAGAATCAAGCCAATTTTCTAGGAAATCATAACATTTTGAAGGTGTGCAACATCATAACTAAAAAATCATCCAATTTTAAAAGCTAGGGTTTTGAAGGGGGGAAACGATTTCTTATAACAGAGACATAAAATTAATGGCTTCAATTCTATACGCCAGCAAGAACCGAGCCAATTTTGAGGAAACCATAAAATTTTGAAGCTCGGCAACATCATAAACTAAAAAATCACGAGGAAAAAAAAAACATTAAACAATTGAAGCATTGTAATTATTAATTACCTAATTTTGAAGCTAGGGTTTTGAAGTTTAGGCCTTTTCTTCCTTTGCCGAGCAAAAACCTAGTGACGAACGAGTGTAATGGTTCACGACGGTGGCAGGCGGCGCGCCGTCGCTGCGGGACTGAGAATTGAGGGTTTTAAGTGAGGCGGGCGTGAGTGTGACGGAGAGAAGAAAATCGCAATCGCGAATTCAATTATGCATCATTGAACCGAAAAAATCGGTCAATATTAATTATTGGGGTAAATAGCAATTTAACCCCTATAGTTTGAGCTTTGTGCACATGACTCCCTTATACTTTCAATATAAGCATATGACTTTCCTGTAATTTGAACTTTTGTGCACACGATTCTCTAGCTTGTACTCTTAGCATACGCACATAAACCCCTATAATATTTCACTTGCTGAATAATCATACTCATTACAGAAGAAGAAATTTTTAAAAGTACAAGGAGGTTAACCAAAAATTTAATTATTTAGCTAAATATAAAAAAGTTGATAAATTAATAATTTATCAAGACATAAAATTTGATAACCGAAATTTCAAGAACTGCAAGAGTGAATTATGGTAATGAATGAGTGTTGACTAAGGTTGTAAATGATTGAAGTCGGCTCGAAAAAGCTCGAACTGAAATTCATTTTTTAATTGTTCACGAGTTCAGGAGCTTATCACACGTTTCTTTTATTTTAGGGCAAATTACGGCCATCCCCTAAGTTATGCTCAAATTACGAAAATTCCGCTCATCTTTGGGTAATTACAACCACTTCCCTCAATTATGTATTATCTTACGAAAAGACCCCTCCAGAGGTAAATTTAGGGATGTTAATTTGTCCTCTAAGATAAGGTCTATTAACAAAAATCATCCTCATTTTTTTCTAATTACATCCAAACCCGTGTAATTTGTAGATTTCTTACATTAATACCCTTTTGTGATGAGTGGATGTAAGAAATACAGAATGCAGGGGCCTGGATATAATTTCTAAAAAATGAGAAGTTTTTTCATAAGAAATACAGAATGCAGGGGCTTGGCGTTAACTTACCCTACTTTTACACACGTGTATATATTTCGTAAATGTAATGGTTGTTTGCGAATAAAAATTATGTAATATATTTCACCAGGTGTAGTATTTTACGACTTACGAGACCCGATTATTGTATGAAATAAATCATCACATGCATGGTAATGTTACCTAATTATTAGTATGAAATAAATCATCACGTGTTATGTTAGGATAGTAATTAGTAATTGCCAGCTCAGCTAGAAGAATAAAACTGCTGAGGAAAAATTAGGCAAGGCTGCTTGCTTTAGAAATAAAAGATTTAGCATTTTAAATTCAAAAGATTTCACACAGATTGATACATTTGATCAGGCGATATAATCACAGAGACACCAAAAAAAAAAAAAAAAAAAAAATGGATATCGGCAGCAACCCTAAACGCGACGGCAGCTTCTTCAAGTACTGTGGTGGCGACCACCGCAAGAACCACCACAGTACGGCGGCGGCCAACGTCCACCACCACCACCACCACGGTTTCGGCGGTGCAGTTGTGAAAATTGTGGTAGTGTTCGTGATGATCGGTCTAACTTTTGTATTTGTGAATAAATCGGATAATTCGACTTCGACTCGGTTTGTGGACCGATCTTCTCCTCCGTCTTTCGATGTTTTTGAAGATGATGAGTTCAAATCTGAAGATTTATCATCCTATGTAAGTTATTCCCACCTTTATTTGTATATTAATTATTCGTTTATTTAACAAGAATATTTGAATTTTCATATAAATGTTTAAATTGAAATTTTTGTGCCATTGTTTTCTACTATTATTCATTTTTATATGAAAAATCAAATTTTATTTATTTTTGGAATGGTTTACCATATAGTAGAGTAGAGACCATATGAATTTGTGACACTAGATTCCTAACTAATTTGCCCTCGTAGATGGAGACAAATTCAAATTGTTACGAATATATTTGTTAGTACTGTAGGAGCTAAATCATATTATGTAATTTAGGGGAAAATAGAAAAGTAATTAATATAATATTAATTTGCATTTTAGTGAAGTATATATATTTTTTTTACTGTAACGATCAAATCACGTATAGACAAAAAGATAAAATGTCGGATAAACAGACGAACAAGCACAAATTATTTTGGAACAAAAATATTTCAAAAAAGGAGTTATTTTGGAACATATAAAAATTATTGAATTTGATTATATTGTATATATTTATTTATTTATTTATGTATTTATTATAATATTGTGTTTTCGGAGAAAAGGGAAAAGAAGAGAATAACTTGGAGAACATATTGAGAAGAGCAGCAATGGAGGACCAGAAAACAGTAATAATAACAACACTAAATGCAGCATGGACCGAACCACATTCAATATTCGATTTATTTTTGGAGAGTTTCAAAATCGGGGATCGAACACAAAATCTTTTGAAACATTTGGTCGTTGTGGCTTTGGATCAGAAAGCCTACTCTCGTTGCTTAGAAGCACATCTCCACTGCTTTGCCCTCGGCGGCAGAGGTGGCGGCGAAGACTTCTCCGGCCTAGCGTATTTCATGGGCGGCAAATATTTGAAGATCATGTGGAAGAGAATTGATTTTCTACGCACCGTTCTTGAAATGGGATACAACTTTGTCTTTTCGGTAAGTACTCCATGAAACTTTAAATGTTTCTACCGTTTTACTAGTACTATTTTGACTCTGGACGTGCTTTTGACTTTTTTCTAGTCAGAGTTTGGCAAAATTCAAAATAAGAAAACTGTAGTCCTTTGAGTTAGCTTTTTAATCCAACTTGAATCAGCTAGATTGGGATGTCATGCATGTGATAATATTATGTATGAATTAGTTACATTTTGAATTTTAGATAATTCAAAACATCGAAAATGTGGACACTGGAAACTAACTCAAAGAACTACAACTTCGTGTTTTGGGTTTTGTCGAATTCAATCTAAAAAATTGTCAAAATCCCGTTCAATGTCTTCACCGAATGTAGCATAGAAATAACCCTTTAAATATGGTGTTTTTAGAGGGTAGTTTAGTGTTTCACTAACTACTCTCTATTTATGAGAATTAATATTTAATTAGTACAATGTTGGAATTATTTATATAAAGGACATTTAAATTAGGGTAAATAACAAAAACCCCCATGAACTTAGGTTAAATAACGAAAAATGCTCCCACCTATTCTAATTATAAAAAAAACCCTGAGGTTTGTTTCCGTCTTACACCAACATGCCTTAGAATGTGACTTTTCACGGCATGGAATAGACTTTACATAGTTTCAGATAATTTCTTTTATTTCTCTCCTATTTAAAAAAAATTATAATAGATTGTACACACACTCGGTTAAAAAACTCGATCAATAGTTAATCGGAGGGTGATTTTGGTTTATTACGGATTGGTGAAGGTGTTTTTTGTTATTTAAACTAAGTTTAGGGGGGTTTACGTAATTTTCCCTTTAAATTATAGATTCGAATCTTTTAATTTTTTCAGGATGCTGACGTAATGTGGCTAAGGGACCCGTTTCCAAGATTCTACCCGGATGGCGACTTCCAAATCGCATGCGATAGATATAACCACAACTCAACGGATTTGGGCAATTTACCAAATGGAGGGTTCACTTACGTCAAGTCGAACAATCGGACTATCCAGTTCTACAAATTCTGGTACAACGGGAAAGACTATTTCCCGGGAAAACACGATCAAGACGTGTTCAACCTGATAAAGTTCGACCCATTTATCTCGGATATCGGGTTGGGGATCCGGTTCTTGGACACTGCTTATTTTGGCGGGTTTTGTCAACCTAGCAAAGATCTGGATTTAGTTGTGACGATGCATGCGAATTGTTGCATCGGGTTTGAGAAGAAGATCCATGATATTGCAATGGTGATTGATGATTGGAAGAGGTATATGGGGAATCATAACTCGGGTCGGGTTTCTTGGACCGTTCCACGTGAGTGCGGTTTGAATAAAACCGAGTAATTTAGAGAGTACGAGAATTATGTGTAGTTGTAGAACAATAATAAGATGTTCGTCTTTTTTTGGCACACGGTATTTTTCGAGATTAGGGTTTTATTTCTCGTCAAAATAAAGACTATTTAATGATTTTTTTTTATTCTTGGCAAATAAAACTGAATGGAGATTACGAACCAAACTACAATAATAACCTCGATAAATTAATAACATCGTTTAGATAATATTTTTTTTTTAATTTCGGTTCCCACCGTGTAAAACATACTAAATTATTAGTTTGATTATTTAATATTTCGTTAAATTAATAGAATTTTGTTAGTCCCGACTGTATTAATTCATAGAGATTTAACTGTAGATTGAAGATTATATATGTTTACTAAATTATATACCAAATGCAATAGTAGAAAAATGATTTTTAGTACGACCATTACCGTAGCAATACGTACCAAATATGTAGTAAAAAAATGTTTTTGCTACGAATTTACCCCATATCAAATTCGGGCATAACAAAAACTTTGTTACAGTAAATGGCCGTAGCAAATATTTTTTACTACGACAAATCCTAGTATAACTACGACTCTCAGATTGGCGCCTAGTAAAAAATACATTTTTGTAACCGATTTTTAATATAGCAATAAAACTAAAAAATCATTTTTCTACTAGTGATTGATGATTGCAAGGAAAAGTCTCATACGATATTATAATACAACACCAAATTAAAATTAAATTTAGCCACCCTGGTGTTAGATCGTGGAAACCATCAACTAATTGCCAGCTCTAGCTGTTATGGAAAAAGTTTAGAAATTAAATAAAAGAATTGCCATTTTAAATTCAAAATATTAAAACTTGATATGTGTAATGGTTTATGTAGCTAATTAACCACATTTGTTCAGACGATAATCACACATTGATTAATTAAAAAAAAAAAAAAAAAAAAAAGATGAATTGGGGAGGTGGAGGAGGAAGCAGAAACCACAAAGACATCGGAAACTTCCCCGAGTGTGGCGGCTACCACCAATCCCACCACCAACGTTTTGGCGGCGCGGTAGTGAAAATTGTTGTAGTGTTCGTGCTGATCGGTCTTACTTTAGTTTTCGTAAATAAATCGGATAATTCTACTCTTTTCATGGACCGATTCTCTAAACCGAGTCAAAAAATTCTATCTCCTCCGTCTTTCGATGTTGTTCAAGGAGATGAGTTCAAATCTGAAGATTTATCACCCTATGTAAGTTATTCTTTACATCAACATCTTTTTTTTTTTTTTTCGTATAATTGGATTTCTTTTCTTTTTTTTCGTATACAAAATTAGAAATTGGGGCCAACCTATTAGTGGTTCAAATGAGCTGAGCTGACTCATGGCCTTGTGAGCCAACCCGAAAAGTATGAGGTCGAGTTTGAGCATGGAACCCATGAGCTTGGGCTTTCTAATGTGCCGAAACTTGAGCTCATATTTTTTCGGTTCGAAAGCTCATGAGCCGACTCGTGAGCTTTTATTTATATTTTTTTAATATAAAAACATTAGCATTATTGAAAAATTCAAAATTCAACAATTAAACTTGTTTAATGTTGAAAAAATAGGTTTGATATAAATTATAACACTTCAAATTAATTATAGTATTTTTTTAATTTATAAATTATAATAAAATATTAATAATAATACTTGCTAGCTAGGGTAATGAGCTTGAGCTTGAGCCTAAAAAAATTAGGTTTGAACAAGCTCGGCTCAAGCTCATAGAAATTGACTTGTTCGACTCGCATTCGGCTCAAACTCGACTTGTTTACCCCGCCCCCTAATATAACCTAGTAGATATATATACCTTACTATTTATTCAAACAAAACCACAATAATGCGTGCTGGTATGTGTAGATGAACGGTAAAGATCTGAATATGAACCCCAAATCAAATGTTTTTTTTTTACGTTTCAAGTTTCTCTAACTCAAACATTATTTATTTTATTTTATTTTATTCGAAAAAAAGGGAAACTTGGAGAACACGTTGAAAAGGGCAGCCATGGAAGACAATAAAACAGTAATAATAACAACATTAAACGCAGCATGGACCGAACCAAATTCAATATTCGATTTATTCTTGGAGAGTTTCAGAATCGGGAATGGGACACAGTATCTTTTGAAACATTTGGTGGTTGTCGCTTTGGATCGGAAAGCGTACTCCCGTTGCATGGACGCAAATCTCCACTGCTTTGACCTCGCCGGCGATGGGGTTGACTATTCCGGCCAGGTGTATTACATGACCAGCAATTATTTGAAGATGGTGTGGAGGAGAACCGATTTCCTGCGCACCGTTCTTCAGTTGGGCTACAATTTTGTCTTTTCGGTACGCACTCTTTTCTTTTTCTCTAAATCAATATGCAAATTGCAGCCACCCCGAGAAGGTAGAATTACGAAAACACTCATCTTGTTTGGATAATTACGACCACATCTCAATTATGTAGTTTCTTACACGTCTACCATTATGCAGGGGCCGACCTAGGGGCTTTTTGGTGGGGGGCCAAAATATGTGTGTGAATTAAGAGAAGAAAAAAAGATTATTTTTTTGGGCTAAAATGTACAAAATTTAAATCTTGAGGGGGCCAAAGTCTATTAATGAATAGATAAATACCAAAATAAAATTAAAAAAAAATTAGCAAAAAATTGGTAAAAAAAAGAACTTCTGGAGGGCCGGAAGCCCCCCCAAGCCTACACATGGGTCCGCCCCTGCCCTCAGGGTGTTAAATTTATATATTGAATGAGGGATTTTTTCGTAAAAAAATTACAAGATTCATTTACTTTTAATTTTTTTCAGGATGCTGATATAATGTGGCTAAGGGATCCATTTACAAGATTCTACCCGGATGGAGACTTTCAAATTGCATGCGATAATTATAACCACAACTCAACAGATTTGGGCAATTTTCCGAATGCAGGATTTACCTATGTGAAGTCGAACAATCGGACTATCGAGTTCTACAAATTTTGGTACAATGGAATATATTATTTTCCCGGTAAGAACGAGCAATACGTGTTGAACATGATAAAGTTCAGCCCGTTTATCTCGGAAATCGGGTTGGATATCCGGTTCTTGGACACTGCTTATTTTGGCGGGTTTTGTGAACCCGCCAAAGATCTGGATCTGGTTGTGACTATGCATGCGAATTGTTGCGTCGGGTTGGGAAAGAAGATCCATGATATTAAAATTTTAATTGATGATTGGAAGAGATATTCGGGAAATAATTCGAGTCCGGTTTCTTGGACGGTTCCAATTGAATGCGGTTTGAAAAATTCGACTAATTGAATGATTTAGTGAGAGTATGAGAATTATATGTAGTTTTAAGAAAGACTATAGCAATTAATTTCACGTTCATTTTAATTGTCTTTTAAGTAGAAAATTGTTTTTTCTTGTATTATTTGTTGTTTAAGGGGAGATTGAGGTTTTTTTTTTTTTCCGAAATAATTAAAGAATGTTTGATGAAATCGTTATCGTGCATGCCTGTTTAACCAAATTTTAAATGACGAATAAATTGGAATTGGACTTTTTTTTCTAGGTTTTTTTTTTTTTGTAAATTCGTTTCTCCAGCATTGGCTGTCTCAGACAATATTATTGTTGTTGGTAAAATAATATTATTGTGTTAATACTAATATCACTATCTTGGTCTGCAATATTATTATCTCAGACAATAAAATTAGAGTATTACTATGTTAACAGTAATCTTTAACGCCGTGAAAATAAAATTATTCGAAAAAAGAAAAGAAAAAAAATAATAAGTTAACGCGGGTCTGTGCCGGAAAAATATTAGGGGAAAAATTATGAATGAAAGTAATTTAAATTATATTGTTAGGAGTATTTTAAATAAAAAACAAAACGATGATTCTTTTAGAATTGATATGCAATTTGCCCTTTAAATATTGTTTTTGGGAGGTCTTCTCACCCTTGTAGTTTCATGAACATTGATGTTAGATGTATTTTACTTTATTCATAAACTTCCATTATTTTATTTTTATTTATATGGAAGTTAGGTGGTTGCCAAACCCAACCTTTGCAAAAATTGATGTTATCCCTTCTAATTATATTTATATATTAATCAATTGATGAATTGAAGCAAGCTCAACAAGAAATTAATCACATATAAATAAATATAATATAATAATCCCAATTTAATTTATCCCTTCCCTCACCAACCCCACACACTCCAATCCCACCAAACAATATCTGTATACTCATATCTACCCCCCAAAGAAAAACATCCTTGTACACTGTACTTTACTACAAACAAACAATTCTTGCTTCTTGGACGAGGTCCAAAATAAATGACGTACTTGAACCAGAGCATAAAGATTCCAAGTTTATTCCCGGTTTCTCGCAATTAGTACTTTTGTTTATAGTCAAATTACGAAAACTTCTCTCTTGTTTGGGTAATTACAACCGCCCCCTCAACTATAAATCTTTTTACACGTCCATCCTTGAAGTTTCAAATTTAGTGGAATTTTCTAGATTATATAGAATATTATCACTTTTGCACCCGTTTTATTCTATTCGAACTCCACATTTTGAAGCAAGATGATCATAATATGTGTTTTTTGGCTTGTATATATCAGATTGTGGCGCATCTGAAACTGCAATTTTACACAAAACGAGTGCAAACTAGAGCACATTCTATGAAATCTAGATGATTATGTTGAATTTGACACCATAAGGGTGTAGATGTAAGAAAAAATCATAGTTGAGGGATAGATGTAATTACCAAATAAGAAAGATTTTTTCGTAAATTGACCATACCTCAGGGGTGGTTGTAATTTACCAAAAATTGAATTATACGGGGTGTTTTTTGTCAATAAAATGACATACAATATTTTTTTTAGGATGTAACACATGTACGTGTACTAATTAATTACATAAACGCAGGTCTGGCGGTATTCCATTTCTGTAAGTGCAGACAGGGGCGGAGGTCTGGCGGTATTCCATTTCTGTAAGTGCAGACAGGGCGGGTCCACCCCTCTGGGAGGGTGGACTCAATAAAATCCAAATTAATACAAAAAGACACCCCCCCCCCCTCCTATTTTATGATTTTTTATCACAAAAAAGTCATAAATCTTTTCCGAGAGCGTTGTTCGTACCTCTTTAAGTCCATCATGTATCACATTCCTAGACTCGCCACTGAATGCACCAGATAGTAAGAATTACTTCAAAAATTACCAGAACATATCAATTAATTGACACAGGGAAACACATACATCCTCCTTTATTACAATTACACATGCATGCATGCATCAAAATCATCACACTTATAAAGAAAAAGAAAAAAAAAAAAAAGTGGTGTAAGCTTGTAATATTGACAATAGAAACATTATGAAAGAATATAATAGTGTAGAAATATATAGGAGAACAGTCGAATTTCGTCTCTCTTAAACTAATTGTGCACCGTTAAAATCCTCTTCCAAATCGGGTATTATAACTACCGCAAGTTGTTGGTGGTCTTGTTCTTCGATGATCTCCGCGTCTTGATTGGTGCTGCTTGCGCTAACGGTGATGTGGATGTCGAAACCGGGAATATTAGCTGCCGAAAGAATGGGCGGCTGCACGGACAACAGAACGTTCCGGAACAGCGCAGAAACACAGGACGTCAGCAAAATGATGGCCGGGTACGAGTACCAGAAGTAGAGGCGAGGGAGGAGGAGCGATGCGAGTAGAGAAATTACAATCATTGCGGAGAAATTGGTGGCTCGTACGAGGATATCGTACGACGGAGAATAGTTCAAAGAGATTCGGATGGAAACAAATGGGAAGAGGAGGGAGAGTCCCAAAACAAGGCAAAACTTCGTCGGAGTGGGGTCGACGATGATGCCGAATGGGTCCCACTCCGACGTGTCGTCTGCTGGTTTCAGCATGTTGATTACGAGGATGAAAGCGTACCTTAAATCGAGGTAGTAGTAAGACATCGATATATGATCTTCTAAGAGATTATATAGATAACGATGGGGTACGTAGTTATTATCTCTGTGTGTGTTTTTTTGTGTATGTTTGTTTCGTTTTGCCCTCTATTTATAGTGTGCGTGTGTATATAGGGCTTGGCACGTTGGAGCCAATGGGTAATTATAACGATTTACATAAAAAAAAAAAAAAAAATCTATGGATTTAATTAAAATAGTATAAATTTTAGTCAAACTTTATATAAGTTTACATAAGAGTGTGAAGAAATAATAAAAAAAGGGTAAATTACACCCACACCCCTGAGGTATGCTTAAATAACTTTAAGGTCCCTGTGGTATCGATAATTACACTAACCCCTTGAAACGTAGTTATAAACTCTAATGGGATAATGGATTGGAAACGTTATTACGATAGAGTTCTAACGCTCTATTGGTTTTAGGAAGTGGTGGAGACAACAAAAAGTTATGGGTGATTTAAGACATATTTGGGGAGTCATGTCACCACATAACTCTATGTTATCTCCACCACTAGCTAAAAGTAATCGGAATAATGTATCCAATGCATTATCCCGTTAGAGTTTATAACTACGTTTCAGGGGGGTGACTGTAATTATCAATATCATAGGGACTTTAAAATTATTTAAGTATACCTCAGGGGTGTGGGTGTAATTTACCCTAAAAAAATTAGAAGGTGCAAAAACAATTATTTACATAAAATTATAATAAAATTACATTAGTTTTTTTTTTTTTCCTAAAATCTTGTCGCGGATCCGCCTGTGGAAATATTGGCCTTTGATGACCCAAAAGACACCCAATTAAAAGTCAATGCAATTCTTATATATATATATATATATATATATATATATATATATATATATATATATATCCAGGTATAGGCTTGTGGATATAACGTATGATGCATCAATATAGGCATGACTCAAGTGCATCATCACTGAGATCAATTATTAAAAAAAAAAAAAAAAAAAAAGTTTAATTTATATATAATTCGAACAGTCTCAGAACTTCTCTATCCATTGTCCAATCATATCAGATTTTTATTTTATTTATTTTAATATAAAATGAGATTCCTTATAGATGCAGTCCAAACTCCAAAATCCACCATATGATGCAGTATCTTAAATTATGAGAACGTGGAGGTGGTCTTTTGTTATTTAAAGTTCACTTTACACCCCTGAATTATATAGAGCATACTACATGCACACCCCTAAATTACTAAATATACCAACAAGGTCCATATTATCTTTGGTCAACAGGGTGGTGTTTGCAAAAACTTATTTAAAAACAAAAGTTAGTAATTGTGAGTTAAGTTCACATTAAGTGTTTATTTTTAAAAGTTAGGGTGTTTGCAAATTTACTGACAAATTAAATTAAATAGAAGAAATAGGATCATAGGTGCTTAACAAATTATAGCTTAAAATTGCTTAATTTCAGAGAAACAAAAGCAGAAGTTCATTTTGCAAATACTTAAAATAGATTACGAGAAGAAAAAAAACTCATAATAATCTATATGTAAAAGTTTTAGCAAACACCACCTAGATAATTAACACCTGACAATTTTGCCCTGAACAGTGTTTGTAAATTTATGTCTAATCTCCAACACTTACAATTAGGGCTTTTTATTTAATTTATTACTTTTTCTTAATTTAATTGAATGAGGGCTTTAATCATCTTTTGAAATTACATCAGTGTTGATAAGCAAATTGAGGTTAATGCTTTGAGTGTAAATAGCCTGCGATTGATTATATATTTACTTATTTAACTGAATAAATGATTAACACAATTGACTGGTTGAGTATGTAAATTAGTAATAGAGTAACTAAATTATACATAGATATAATTTCAAAAAATATTTATTGGAATTTAAATTGAGCAGGAAAAAAAAGTGCTCGGTAAGAAAAAATAAAATCACGAGTTGTTTATTTCCAGGAAAAAAAATCAATTTAAAATAGAAAAACAAAAATAAGTTTTGAGGTTAGGAAAATAAAATTATTAGTTTATCAGACAATCACACCAAAAAATAAATAGAAATAGGCAAACACAAGCCATAACTCACATACATACAATTAAGGGGTAAAATCGGCCACAAGAAGTACAACAACCATAAAAAAAGAAATATATAAAGTCAATTTGCCACCTAACTCACCCGCGCATGTGTAACGTAGGTGATCCAAGTACTTCATCGGAGTCGGTCAACTTCAATCTCGATTTTGACAATAATCGCATTCGAATTTGAGAAAACATACATAGCACAAATGACTGATTCTAATTAGAGAACCGCGACATAATCCCACATATATAGTTTAGTAGAGAAAAGAAAAAAGAGAAAGGGAGGTGGATAATACATTTCTATGAAATGCTATTTTTTAAGGGTGAATTGCGAAAACCCCGAAACTTAGGATACATTACAAAAAACACTCTCATCTATTTGTAATTACCAAAATACCCTTGACGTTTGTTTTCGTTCTACACTTGTGGAATTTTTTTTATTTCAGAGAATATTCTCCAAAAATATCAATTCTACCCGTGCAAATGTGACCTTTTTTTATGCTAACATTTAAAGACAAAAGTTACCCTTAGAGAGATAATGGTAATACTAAAAGATTGTGAATATGTTATTGAAGAAGAATAAATATTTCATGTAAAGGTGAGGGTAAGTTCTTCATTTTATAAAAATAGCATAAAGAAATATCACTTCTCTAGTGGTAGAGTCGGTATTTTTCTGAAAATATTCCTTGGAATAAAAAAAATTCCGTAAAAAATCACATCGTAAGAGAGTCAATATAAGATAGAAACAAACATCAATGGGATGTTTTTTTTTTTTTTTTTTTGGAAGGGAAAAAAATAATATTATTAGGCATAATGTGCCAAATGAGAGGGAAGAGAAGACCCTTCAGTACAAGATGAATTGTTCATCTTAGCAATAGCATTGGCTAGTTTATTGCCAGAGCGTTTAACAAAATCAGATGAAACAAAACTAAACGAAGAAGAGAGAAAAAGACAATCTTCGATGAGAGCTCCAAATGAGGCTGTGGTGGTGATACCGTTCCAGAGGGCCTCGATAATTTGAATTCAGTCTGATCTCCTTCAAGGATGATTGATCTCCAATGCAGCCCTTGCTTCACCCTCCACTGGTTTGGGTCGTCCTGGGAGACGTGCCAAATGCCACCATATGCATCTACCGCGCCAGTCCCGAACGACACCAGCAATGGTGAAAAAATCCATACCCACCGGAAAGTTGATTTTCACCTTGCCTGGGGGAGGGGGTTTCTACTCCGTCGGATATTCTTCAGTCTTGAGAATAGTGGTCGGCACATTTGCTTCTCGGTAGAGAGAGAGTAGCGACATACTCCAAACAATAATATCCACCGGTTCGAGCAGCTTTTCCCCATGCATCTCGTTGTTTCTATTGTTCCAAGCCTGCCAAGCTACCACAATGGCCAACTTTGTCCTCAGGGGGATGTTGATAGTTACGGATAATTGGGGTGTTTTTTTATAATTTAGCTCAAGTTCGAGGTTCGTAATTTACCCTTTTTTGTTTTGTTGGCGTAGAATTGATTATAAATATATAATCTAATTTTTAATATATTTTTTTTTATGCACATAGACGGCAGAACTACAAACCGTCAAAATTCCTTCCTACTTCAATATTTCAGTATTTCTTAATGAATTGAAGTGTTATTTATGAATTCAATTATCAATAGCACAACAGACTGCGGATAGCAGATCTAACTCATGTTCTAAAAAATTAAAAATAAAAATTTGAACTCTTCGATGAATCGAGTATCTTAATAATAATAAATATATCATGTATATAAAGAGAAGAAAAAATTCAAGGGGATTTAAATTCAATGAAATTCTCGGATTTCAGCTAAACATATTGGGAAGTGGTCGTACTGCCATGAACGCATCCACCATCTGCACAAAATACAAACGAACGATCAACTAAGTTCCATATACAACGAGTATAATCTCATAAAGTTTCAACAAACACGAGAAAGAAAAAAATAATAATAATAAGGCGAAGAAATAAAGAATTCACCTCATCGGTAACAGCAGCTCGGGCCCGCTTATGTGTTTCAACCAGATCAGTTAACAGATCAACAAGCCGTTTCTTCACTTCACCTGTCAACAGACGACCTGCACCGTATTCCTGTTCAATCGTTGTAACATTAGCATTAGAGTGATTTCGTGGAGGATCAAAAATATAAATAATCGTAAATAATAGTACTTACTGTTCTTATATGTTCGAGTTCCGCATCATCGTCCAAGAAAAATCCGAGATATTTAATCGGAATATCTACCTGAACATGACATAGGAGAGAGAAGAGGCGTCCATAAAATCAAATGCAAATTCATGAAACATATATTTATAATTTAATTATATATATATCATCTCTTTTAAGGTTTGTCTAATGAAGGCCTTCGTCCAGAATTAGTAATTATATTTACAAAAAATATTGATACCAAAAGCTCAATGTAAAATCAAATTAGCGAAGGTGGAAAGACGGAAGTTTGAAACAATACCTCGAGATTTGCTCCATACTTGCGGTGATTCTCTACTGAATCTTGCCCACCAGAGAATGCGTATCTGTTTACCTGCAACCAAACAAATATTTATAATCGTAAATAACTGAACAAACAGAAGATAAAGTGACGGCACAAAAAGGTTTTGAAGTGAAACCTTGTTCTTTATGTCCTTAGCAGAATCAGTCACGTATATAGCAGAATTTGGATCGCTGGCAGACATTTTACCCGTGTCTCCCTGCAATACATGATTTCATGTAAGAATATATATATATTTTTTTAATAGAAGTATAAGTTAAAACAAAATGAAATTATTAGATAATATCCACGAGCATATGAAAAACCTAAAAACAGTAACCTGAAGAGCAGGAAAGAACGACGATTCAATCAAAGCCGGCTTGTGATAACCTATTCGGGGAGCAACATCTCGTGTCATTCGGAAGTAGGGGTCCTGAGAAAAACTCATCAGAGATTCAGAGTTAAACTCAAGAAAGAAAAACAGATCGATCAGAGTTACAATATCCATTACAGGAGAATGTGAATTGTTTACAAGTTTTCGACGATTTCAATTGCACAAATTCTTACGACTACTGTAGCATATAAAAATATTTAAGGCCCAAAGCCTGGCAAGTGGCAACTTTATGCAGAAAGTGCTATGTTTATTGATCAAACTCCATAAACAAATGAATTTAGCTTCCTATTGTTTTATTGTCTGCTTGAGGAACTACGAAAACTTCTCTGAACTACTAAATGTATCTAAGGAGAAATGTGGTCAAACCTGGTCAATTGCGCAAGGAATCAAGCAACGGAGGTTATCTTTCTCCGAGAACAGGTGTGGAAAGGAACTCGGAAAGGATGGAGCTGCCTAACAACATGCAAGTTACTGAATTGTTAGCAACAACGTATACAGAGAACAAATAATGTAAATCCCGAGTAGAAAAATCATTTAAATTCGATATCCAGCAAAAGAAAACATGTAAATATTACGGCCATTATAAAAACAACATTAGTAATGATGACAACAATGATGCAAAGTTTGCTTATTCAACACTGAGATTCAGATCCAAAGATAATGTAGCTAATCAAATAATAAGTCCAAATTAATACCTGAACAGGCGGAAAACTGACTTTTCCGATGTGATCTTCTCCACTGAAACCAAAGATACCAACTACCTGCAACACCACACAATTACATTATTTCTAGGCTTGAGACTACGGATAGTCAGAAAAATCAAAACAAAAAAGAAAGGGAAATGTGTCAATTTATTCTTCACCTTATTGTATGTGACACACTTTGCAATCTTGACCATGTTCTTGTAGAAGGACCTGCACAATAACTTGCACGGTAAATTTACTGCTAGCACAAGTGTCATAAGAAACAAGAGACTTCGTAACCATACAAAACGACGAGTACTAGTATTCCTGTCATATTTGATGATCATATGATGATTAAATGTGTGGAAAATTGATGGAAACACGTCAATTAAAATAATCAAGATTTTACGGTGATGCCTATTTGCTGAATAGTGAAATAATGGTGGACACGGCACAAGAATTTATCTTAACTCGTCAAAAATATATCCAAAATCCTTCTTCGTTTGCAAGGTTAATGTTCTTAACTCGTCAACAATATATACAACAAATTAATGTTCTTTTGAAAGTAATTACAAGTGTAACCTATCATTTCCAAACCAACATTCGATTTCACCAAAAAAATCAACTCATTGCGTCAATGAAACATAAACAAAACCCAAAAGACAATCTTCCTTTTTCCCTATCACTAGAGACGACATAATTATTTACATATATACACGGCTCATATGACATATCATTCTCCTTCAATAAGCCCCTAATATTAAGTTAATCAGTCCAAATACAATGACTCTATAAACGGAGATAACCGAGTTGAGGAACAACGGGATTTTAGGATTGAAAGAAAAAAAACATTTAAACACCATACGGTCTGTACCGCATTACTTAACAGTGCTTACATTGTAAATATAAATAATTATCGATCACAAGCAAAGAGACGAAATACTCACCCTCCAACATAATCGAAGTCGGAGAAAATAAATGTCCTCGAAACATCGAATCCGCAGGCGATTATATCTTTAGCATTTTCACGGGCGAGCCTCTGACTTTCCTCCACAGTCAAATTCTTCCACATGCACTTCTCATCGTCTGTCAATTGTATAACAAGCGGCACCTTGAATGCATCTTGCAGATACCTAAAAACCCCAATTAATGTAAAATTATGATAAATTAATTAAAGCAATGAAGCATTTAGCTAGTTATCAAGAGTTAATTACAATTAACTAAAAGGAGGAATTAATATCTATTTTCTTAATTATGAAAAAATAAAAAATCAATTACTTGGTGAACATGAACGGGACGAGATGGCCCAAATGCAAGGCCTCGGAAGAGGGGCCCCGACCCGTGTAAAGATAGAACTTTTCGCCTCTCTCGTACGCATCGAGTAGGTCACTGAAATCTCGGTGGGCGAAGAAGACGCCGCGGCGGAGGAAGACGTGCGGCGGGCGGCCGGTGAGGCGGGCGACGCGGTCGACGAGTGATTGGTCGAGGCGCTGGCAGCCGAATTTGTCGATTAGCTTGTCGTAGTCAATTTTGCCGCCCTTTTCGGCGCTTACTTCCCATGGAGTAACTATTTGCTCCTCTTCTACTTGGTTATTCTGCTCCATTGATGTTGCAGAGTGGGAGGATGGGAGTGAGGGGAGAGAGGAATATGCGTAGGGTTTTTCATTCTCTCTCTCTCTCTTATTGGGAACGATGAGAAACGTAAGGGTGTTTTCGTCTTTTTCCATAAACTTCGAAAATGAAAGGGAATTTCCATAATATTTAATTATTTATTAACTATATAAACTTATTTCCCTAATCAAGGAAGTGTATTTATAATAAACTTTAAGAAATTAATGCGTAACCAATAGTAAGTATTTTGATTTATAATAATTTTTTAAAATATATTTTCATTCGTTATTATACAATATATATTATTTGACATTTTATTTTTCCAATAACTTAATAGTAGTTACTTTTCAATTTTATATAATCCACTAATTATTAGATTGTTATGTTATTTATTCTATCAAATAAATATAAAATTTTAAATATTGCATTGACTTTTCAATTGATATTTTTAGTAAATTATTTGAATTATTTTTCCATGCAATGAAATTAGAAATATAATTATTGCTATGTTTAAAAAGTTAAGATACAAAATAATTGATGTTGAGAGGTAAATATTACATAAACTATACTTCAGGAGTGCAAAGTGTATTTAATCGTTTCTTATAAATTGAATTTGTATAAACAAAAATTAACCCCAGTCAACAAAAACCACACCAAGCTGAAAAATAAACATAACAAGGGGGCCAAGAACTCTAACTAATCACTGCTCAATCTCTAATTATAGACAAAAAAAAAAAAAAAAAAAAAAAAAATCTCAATCTAAAACCTCATATTAAATAAAATCAGCCATATTCATCGGCATTTCATCGATCTGTGCGTTGTAATACTGCTCGATATCTCTCAAAATCTTGATGTCGTCGCTGTTAACAAAATTTATCGCAACACCCTGCGTAATAAAGAAAGCGAACACGAAAAAAAACGATTATTTCTCCGCATTATTATTCAGAAAATAGAGATTGAAAACATATAGAATTGTTTTAGAAAGCTGTAAGAATACCTTTCTCCCAAAACGGCCAGACCTTCCAATGCGATGAATGTAGAGCTCTCGGTTATTAGGGAGATCATAGTTTATTACCAGTGAAACCTAATAAAAAAAACCCGATAAGAAAATAAAAAATAATCAGTAATCATTCCATATATACAAAATACTCCATATCTAACTACAGTTAAACCTCTTCTATGAAGTAATACAGTCGGGACTGACAAAATTCTATTAATTTAGCGAGATATTAAATTATCGAGCTAATAATTTAGTACGTTTGTACCGAGTCGGGACCGTAAGAAATAATTATTTAAGTGAGATTATTAATTTATCTAGTATTAATTTATCGAGGTTCTACTGCAGAACCATGGAAGACGAAAGAAAATCAAAGGTCCCGTAAACCCACCAGGACATCAGAATATTCACACTTCTTCGACAGAGAAAAATCTTTTTTTTTATTCTTTTTTTTTGGTAGGAAAAAAAAAATCGGAAAAAGGAAGGGAAGCTAAAGATACCTGTTGAACATCCAATCCCCTAGCCCAAACATCTGTTGTAATAAGAACTCTCGTCTGACCGGACCGAAATTCACCCATAATTGCATCTCGCTCCCTTTGTGGCATATCTCCATGTATGGATGAGACTGTAAAGTTATTGTCGCGCATTTGTCTTGCTAGCCAATCAACCTGTTGTCCACCGAGAAAAAAAATTACAGTCGGGGAGAATAGTTTTCGCTACGTACTGAAATAAATTTTTGAAATCTTTCATAACGTGTTTTCGCTAAAATTAAAATATTAACAAGTACACATAACGTAATGAACTGTATAAGACAGTGAGTGAAGGGAGAACGACTTGTAATTTTACTTCATAATCGAATAAAGCTTAACAATAGCTAGCATTAAAGTACGTGAAGAATTTGAAACTAGAAAAAGAAAAGTTACCTTATCCTTTGTATTACAGAAGATAACAGCTTGAGTAATGATAAGTTGATCATAAAGATCACAAAGAGTGTCGAGTTTCCATTCTTCCCTTTCCACCGCAACAAAGAATTGCTTGATTCCCTGTCCCAAAAAAATTAAAACAAATCGAAAGTAAGACAAGAATTGCCGAGAGAGAGAGAGGGTTTTATAATTTGGAATTCTTAAAATCTAAATCACACATGCCAAAATAGAGCTACTTTTATGTTGCTTCTAGAAAAGTTACGAAGAAATGTTATTTAGTGGTATATCATATATATATATGATGGGGCGGGTTGAAAATTTAGTAGTAACTATCCAATATTCTTTTAGTCTCGAGCACATAATATGTTTACTCATACAAGAACACGTAGAATAACAAGAAGCCTACCTCCAATGCCAATTCATCACGCTTGACAAGGATCCGAACTGGATCGGTCATGAATTTACTTGTTATTTCCAATATTTCATTTGGAAGGGTAGCGGAGATTAAGACAACCTACATTCACAGAATATCAAATAAATAATCAGCAAATAAAAAGATCTAAAACTTTGGCGATTTTCAGGAAGCTTTATATTGATGAAAGACGCATTATCTCTACTGCCCGTGACGACATATTTTCATGGTATATATACCTGCAGCTCGGCTGGAAGATATCTATAAATATCATAAATCTGATCTTTAAACCCTCTGCTCAACATTTCATCGGATTCGTCCTAACAAAATCCATACAAAGAAAAATTAATTATTGAAACCGTAATCGAGATTCAAAACAACCCAACTAAGCATGAATAAGAATATCTCACAAGTTGACAAAATCAAGAGAGCACCACGCATTATCTATACCAACATCAAAATAAAAGGAGAAAGTGAAACTCACAAGAATTAATAATTTGATCGATTTAGTTCGTAAAGTTCTCCTCTTGATCATGTCGCAAACTCTACCAGGAGTGCCCGACACAACATGAACTCCGTGCTCTAGTTTCCGTATATCCTCGCCCACACTTTTGCCTCCAATGCAAGCATGAGCTTTCACATTTATATAGTCACCAATTCCCAGTATTACTTTCTCTGTTTGGGCAGCTAATTCCCTTGTAGGTGACAAAATCAAGGCTTGAACCCTAATTGTTAAGGAAAAAAGTAAATTAAATCAAATTGAACATAGAGTTTATAAATTTAATTCAACATATAGTAAATTAAATCAAATTTAACACCAATAATAATAATAACAAAAAGGGGCAAATTACGGCCACCCTTGAGTTATAGTCAAATTATGAAAACCCCATCCTGTTTTGGGTAATTAGAGTCACCCATCAACTATGTATTATCTTACAAAAATACCCTTCCAGAGGTAAATTTAGGAATGTTAAATCGATAAAACCGAACCGAAATTTTGGTCCGCCAACATTTAATACCATTTAGCGAACTGAATATACAATTCGGTTCGGTAAATAACCAAATTACATAAATTTTACGTAAAAATATTTAAAAGGAGGGGTGGCCGTAATTACCCAAACATGAGGGATTTTTTCGTAATTTGGCCATACTTCACGGGTGGCCGTAATTTGCCCCAAAAAAAACTATTTGTAACTTAAAACTATTGCACAAACCTAGAAATTTCAAGTGAAAAGACTCAATTGGAAGCATAATCTAAACCTCAAAAACAACATAATTACTGAAGAAAAAGGAAAATCAATTGAAAATTTAAAAAAAAAAAAAAACATACTCGGAGGATTTGGTATCGGCAATCTGACAGGCGGCGAGGGCAATCATGGAAGTTTTCCCCGTACCAGACTGCGCCTGAGCAATGACGTCACGGCCGGAGATAATTGGAAGAACGGCGCGCTGTTGAATGGCGGAAGGCTTCTCGAAGCCGTAGTTGTAGATTCCTCTGAGCAGATCGTCCTTTATCCCCATCTCGTCGAAGCTCAAAATTGGCTTCACACCTTTCGACGTCTCGAACACAAGCTTCGAATCGTCCTCCTCCATCGCCCGCCGCCCGCCGCCGCCGCCTCCTCTCCGAATCCCCGCCGCCGCCATATTGATTTATTCAGTAGCGTCGGGGGAATTAACACCTGGAAAATTGATTGCGCGGAGAAAAAACTAATACTGCCCTAACTCTTAAGTAAAGATTTCGCGATTTTTGAATCTTATGGAATCCGAACTATATATATATATATATATATATATATATATATATATATAGGTGTTTGATTTAATGTTAAATAACACTTACGTCCTCGAAATTTATATAATCATAGTTAGACCCTTTCGTGTTTTGGAAATTATATAATACCGGTTTTTAAATTTTGGTGATATAAGATTTAACCCCATTTGATGGTTGATTTGATTTGTCAGAAATGTACTTGCCCTACATTAGAATATCAGTTAGATTATATAATCGGCCCCTTTGAATTGTGTATATTTACATAGAGACCCTTATATTCGAAACATATTACATAAACCTCTCTTTAGAAACACCCCCTAAGATTTAATTTTAACTATTTTCTGCATAGTCGCAAAAATAAGATAAAAACCATAGTTTGTTCCTTGAAACAAATAAATATAAACGTTGCAATTTGCAAATATCTAATCTTTAAGTAATTATATGAAAAAAAATGAATTAGAGTTCAAAATGAAGAAATATAAAACAAATAGAAGTAATTCTAGAACAAATATATCATTTATTTAACTATTAATTTTATCGAACTCAACACATGAATGAATTGTGTTTAACAAAATGGCTCAAGCCTATCCTGATTCACTAAAAAAATAGGTTCGGCTCAAACATAATTGGATCGAACAATCTAGTTTCGGTTAGGTCTAACTCAATTGCTACTTCTATTTCCATATGTACTCCATTTGTTCCACCCACAATATCCGTCTCTTTCGAGAATTTATTTCATCCCATATTAGGTGTCACTTTACAATTCTAATGGTGCATCAATTATATATTTTTCAGTTATACCCTTATTAAATCTCCGACATTCTTTCAACATTATTTAATAGACAAGGGTATTTTGGTCTATCGAATATATATTTTTCTAAATTTAAGATATATTTGTTGAGTATCTTAATACTTGTGTAAAGATGAAAAACGACTCCTACTTGGAAACGGGCCTCGTAAAATGCAACCTACGTACATATTGTTAAAAAATATTTCGGCCCCTTTTCCACATGGGCCTTGAGAAGGTGCCCAACTTTGCATCGGTAAGAGAAAAAAGGAAAAAACAAATTTAATTTGGCCTTGTTGTAAAGTATTATTATTTAGGGTAAATTACAAACACCCCTCTGATGTATGGTCAAATTACAAAAACCTCCCTCTTGTTTGGATAATTACATCTACCCCCCTCAACTCCTCAAATTTAGTGGAATCTTCGAGATTATATGGAATATTATCACTTTTGTACCCGTTTTATCCCATTCAAACTCTACAATATGAAGCAAGATGATCATAATATGTGATTTTTAGCTTGTATATATCACTTTGTGGTGCATCGGAAACTGTATTTTTTACACAAAACGAGTACAAACTATAGCACATTTCACGGAATCTAGATGACTATGTTGAATTTGGCACCATAAAGGTGGATGTCTAAGAAAAAATCATAGTTGAGGGGGTTAGATGTAATTATCCAAACAAGAGGGGTGTTTTTGTAATTTGACCATACCTCAGGGGGTGTTTGTAATTTACCCTATTATTTATTTTGTAAATAGGAATGGCACATGTTGCGTGTGTGTGTGTGTGTGTTTTTCTTTTCCAACTAATTTAAATAAGCAATAATTTGTTAAAGTTTGTGGGTGTCTTTTTTTTCATCAACTCCTTACTTCTGTCGGAAGTGCTTTATTAGGTTAGCTTTTTAGTCCTATTACACATGGAACAATTATAGTCAGCCTCGAGGTTAGGTTAAATTGCGAAACAATCCCTCTTGTTCGTGTAATTACGATTATCCTCTCAACTATGTATTTACTTACAAAAAAAAAAAATCATTTACTTAGTAGGTAATTTGACACCGTACTAGTTCAGTGGCACATTATATAGTTGAGGGATATGATTGTAATTATATTATCAATATATTTATATAAGTTTTGTCTTTTATTTGAGAATTGAATATATTTTCAAGGTAATGGTGAAAAGACTTGAGAGATGACTAATCAATCCAACTAAAAGTGTAAAGTTCAGCAAGTAAAAAACAAAGATATGCAAATTAGGTAGAGTTTTCGTACGCAAATGTCTACCTGCTACAATGTTTTTATAATTACAAAAAGGGGCTCCTTTGAAAAATCTCTTTAATCTTTTTTAATCAAGGATAGGTGCAATTACTTTTTTAGTTATTAGTGGTTGATCCAGTATTTCTTTGAGATGCGAGCATTTTCATCCTCGACGTACGAGGGGGAGCGGCGAAGAATGGGGATGGCGACAACGGCAATGCAGAGGCGACGTGTAGCGGAGGTCGAAGGGGCCTAGATGGCGGCGGCTTGTGGTGCAGGAAGAGAAAACAAAAGTGTGTGGATTCATCGTGATTATACCAAAGTTGGGGGTTATCACTAATTTTCCCTACAAAGAAGGGTATAATAGTGTGAAGAAAGAATTTTAGGGCCAAAATGTAATTAATTATAGGGAAAGTACAAATAAAAGTAAGCAGCATTAACGTCAGAGTAATAAAACAATAAAAAAAAAAAAAAAAAAAAAAAAACAGGAGGAAAAGTTTATGCAAATTCGCACAACACGTGAATTATTGATTGGCCAGCGGTCCAAAAGAATCACCAAATCTCACAAGCCGACAAAAATAACTTTTTGCACATCCTTAACGCCTGATTGACGTGTCATTGTAATTACTGATCAGCTGACTCAGCTTGACCCCACCCATTATATGAAATTACACATACGTCCCTAAACTTTGGTGTAATTATAAATAGTTCTCTTCTAGTTTTGAGAATTTTATTGTAGAGGTCAATTATTGAAAATGTAAACAATCCCAATTTTGGGTGGGCCTTTTCGATCGGATGTTACACTTGATGAAATAGAACGGATACTTTTTTTTTGTTTTCATTTACATACGTACAGTCAGATGTGTGTAAAAATATGTATGAACCTATATGTGCATGCATATAGCTCGATAAAATTCATTCAGTAGCAGTGAGCAAACCGATTTCCTTTGAATTTGCTGCATTTACTACCTTGTGTTATATTGAATAGTTAAAAAAAAAAATCATGTGTTATAAATATTTGCAAGGGCAAATTACAGCCACCACCCTGAGATATGGCCAAATTATGAAAAAAATTCCTCTTATTTGGGTAATTACAGTCAGCCCTTCTTTTTAAATATTTTTACATAAAAATTATGTAATCCGGTTACTTACCGAACCAAATCGTATATTCAGTTTGGTAAACGGTATGAAATGTTGGCAAACGGAAATTTCGGTTCGATTTTACCGATTTAACATCCCTAAATTTACCTCTGCAGGTGTATTTTTGTAAGATAATACATAGTTCAGTGGCGGCTGTAATTATTCAAACAAGAGGGGGGTTTTCGTAATTTGACCACAACTCAGGTGTGGTCGTAATTTGCCCATATTTGCAAATACCCCCTAATAATGCATTTTCTTTTTAAACAGCCCCTGAAAAGTGAGTTCTAGAATGTGTTTGCTAATAAAATATTATGAATAGTTATTACTTATTTTCATTTTTAGGGTCATATTATGAGGTCCATTTTTTTCTTATTTTATTTAAAAAAAAATATTATATTATTAACAATCTACTTTCCTCTAAACAATAAAACAGCACGCGGTTACGCGCTTTTTCCATGTCTTTTGGCAAGTTAGCACGCTTTTTGATATTATCACAGTTCAAAAAGTCGACCAACTACTTTACGTTTTAATTCACGCCTTTGCTTATGAAGTTTCTCACAGCAGACAATTATTCATTCTATTTTGTTTTTTTAGAAAAAACATAATTTTATATTAGAGATAAATTCTGAGCGGATCAGCCGATATTTAATATAAATCGGATTCTACTAATTTTTTGATATGTGGCAGTTTTAAGTTTTAACCCTTAATAAATCACGCTGATTATAATTAGGGTTAGAGGGATTATGGGTTCTGCTGGGTTTTCTTTTTCCTTTGTCTTTTTTTCACCGCCGCCGAGCCACTACGCTCCGGACGTCAAACTCCTCCACCACCGAATTGAAATTGCCTTTCTCTCATCAAATAGCAAATTGCGTGGCGGAGCTTCTCTCATTTGTCTGATAAGCTCCAGTTTTTATTCCATATGTTTTAGTTTTGTTATCTGATAGTTTACGTAATCGACTATAGTCAGTTATTAAATCAACTGTGTTACTTTTGTGTTACTTTTATAGTCGATTTATTCTTTTTAGGTCTAATGTACGCTTTAATATTGTAATTAACTATAGTCGATAATAAGTCACCTATATAAACAGCGTAGTCGATTTACATCCAATTTAATCCAGAATTTTGTGAGAAAAATATTGGGTAATCTAGAATAAACCGAAATATTATGAATGCAATATTTCATACGTTGTTTGTTTATAGACACTATTTATAGTGTACATGAGACTTTAAAAGTCAAAAGATTTGATGACAACTGCATAAGGACTTTGAATAAGAAATATTATTAAATCAGTAAAGATAATAAATAATAATTTATATAATTTTTAATTTAAAACTTTGAAATCCAACAGCTTTTTTGTACTTTGAATTAGCTGCCTTTGACTCTCGTGATTGGAAGATCTAAAGTGATGAACAATATGTATTTTTTAATTTATAAAATCAGATTTATGTAATTCGTGGAGTTGCTTAGACCTCTAATTCTCTGGAAAATCATGCTTATTATATTAAAATTGACAGTTAGTGAATTTTATACGTGAGAAAAATAATACATAAATACATAATCGTGACAAGAGCCTACATTTGTGGATGCAATTTCTTCTAAAATAAAAAATAAATAAAAAAGTTGAAGAATATTGTAATAGATTTCTTCTCACACCCTAAGCCGTAAGAGGGTGTTTTGTTAAACTTATAAGATGTTAAAATGAGTTTATAAGGTGTTTAAGAGTTTTTAAAGTGTTTAGTAAAAAAATTCAAAAGATCTTAAAAATTCAAAAAAAAAAAATATTTAAAAAAAATTACATCTAACTATTTTTTTTTAATTTTAGATCTTACAAATGAGTAAAAACATCTTATAAGTTCATTATTCAAATAGTTTTAAAAGTAACGTATCAGTTTATCAACTTTTAAAATAACTTATCAGGCGTAGGGATTATCAATCGTTTAAAATAAGCTTAGTCACACGGATCCTATGTAGATCAATCATAATATACATCATAGAAACATACAGTAGAAAAGGAGTCAACCACATTCTCTAACATACAATAGAACCTTTTTGGAAAAATCATATTCTTGATCGTTTTGTCCGATTAAGTTCCATAATGTAGAAAAAGAGAAATATATATGTCAAGTCACACCCGATGATAATTGGGTAACCACCTATATGCCCGCAAGGGTATAGTTCAATTGGTTACGGGGCAAATTAGTTGGTGCAAGGTCCTAGAATTGAGTACGGACAACTAAACTGTGGAAATTTCAATTCCAATGAGGTTAGTTCTTCGTGGACACCAAGCCCAGTTCTGCTACCGTAACACGCAGATGAATTACTATAATTTACATTATTTCATAGAAAATCTCTCGGGCCAAGGGATGGGTGCCTTGGGGACGAGGAATTTTCACCTTTATGGTGTAAGCCCCATCTATATATATTTGAAATAGGCGTTGAAAATCAAAAAATTCAAAATATATTTTTTGTTTTAAACTTGGATTATTTACTTTAATACTAAAAAAAATCAAAATTTGTGGTGTACAATAAATATTGGGTAGTAGAAACTAGAAAGTGATAGAACAGTGTGTAGATTTTGATGTCACGATCCGTTTTAATTTTGCAGAAGTTTTTAGCAGTTAGCATTAAATTTGGACGGTTGCAAGCTTTGTGTGTAGCAATTAATTTTGAATAGGAAGATTGCATCCCTCACCGTTGATCTGGTGATCGAAGTAATTTTTCACTAAACACACATACATATGGATGCGTGTGATTATACGTTGATTAACAATTAATAACCATCCGGCATATTTCATCCGGTGTTGTATCAAATAAACTTTATTCTTGTGAGCTTTTATTATTATGTGGTTTAGTTTGACACTCTAATGTTTAAAGTATATGAGAGTGATAGAAGTTAGGCAAATAGGCATTAAACTAGTTTTTTAAAGTAAATAAAATAAAGAATTGTGATTCTTATCTTAGGAATAAAAATTAGTATTAGCTAAGACATTATAAATTTAATATTTATGACGCAAGATTGAGAAAATTGTAAAAATAGCTAATAATCATTGATTATAAAATTGAAAAAAATACGTATTAATATGTAAAGTGTAAATAAAATATTTGGGAGCCTTAAATTTTCGTAAAAATCCAGGAGCTTAGGCGACAGTTTACTTCGCACCATTGAAAACCGAACCTAGAGTCACATTTAAAAAAACTTACCCGATAGGATACGAGTTTAGGTACTTTTAGATTTTATCCTATTAATCACTAGTCTATAAATAAAAAGATATATTATTCAAACTTAAAATGTATTCATTTTTGTTTTGTTGTTGAAGTTCAAACTTCTAATTTTTTTTAGACAACTTGTACCATAAATTTAAATTCATCACACAAACACACACAAAAAAAAAGGAATAAAGTCATAAAATGTTATCTTGAATGTTTATGTAATTTGTTTAAAATGTCATAAGAAAGTGACTTAGTTGACAAATTTGATGAAATTGTCATAGCTTTTAATGCAATAGTCTACTCATAAAAATATCATTTATTTTAATTTGAAAGTTATAGCGTGTTTATGCATATGATTAATGTGCATGAGTACATTGATTTCATGTAACTGACATAATTTTCTTTTATGAGAAAAAGTTCATTTTTTTATTGAGCAGTCAAATCATGTTTCGAGGAGAGATAAATTTTTAAAATTGTTATAAAATCTTAGTAAAAATTAATTCATTTTCGGGAAAGAATAAAAATGAGAAGGAATCCGAACCAAACATTCTCCCGTTAATCAAAAATATATAAATAAATTTGGCTTAATTTCACTTTGCACCATTGAAAGCATGATTTTGGCACTTTGGACCCTCAAAACATGTTTAATCGTTCAAAGTGCACCCCATTTCTGACCATAATTTTCCGCCGTTAACTTATTTTTTATCGTCAACATGGTCATTTTTGTCTATTCAATTGATTTTTCTCCAGGGTGCAAAGTGCTAATGTATTTTCGAGCGAAAATGACTCTGTCGACAATCAAAAAAGAGGTCAACAATGAAAATTCAAAATGGAAAATAAACTAGGATGCAATTTGAACGATTAAACATGATTCAAATGTGCAAAGTGTCAAAATAATATATTTCAAGGGTGCAAAGTGTAATAAAGCCAAATAAATTACAAATGAAGAGAATAAAGTAAAGGGGAAAAATAATAAAGTATACACAAGTGGCCGTTACCCTACAACTATCCAACTTTTGCCTTTTATGCTTGACTTCAAATCTTCCCCTACATTTTCATTCTCAATAATTAATTCAAATAAATAATTCAAATAAATAATATTTAAATCCCACCCCCCAACTTTCCCTTTCTTTAAACAGTTCCTCTCTCTTATCTCTCTAATTTCCTCCCAAATGAGCAATCCCATATCCACCACAATTCTTCTTCCAGAAACCCCAATCTCCACCGCCAAAAGGCTGAAGCACCACCAGGAGATGGAGGAGGAGAACCACCACCACCACCAACAACAGCAAATCCGCCACCAGTCCTTACTCCCCGGAATACCAGACGACATAGCCCAACTCTGCCTCTCTCTAGTCCCACCTTCAATTCTCTACTCCGTCTGCCGCTCATGGCGCCGCCTCATCTACGCTCCTTCTTTCCCGCCTTTTCTCTCTCTCTACGCCGTCCTGTTGCCCGCCGAAACCGAATCACACGCCTCAAACTCCGTCGAATTCAGCTCCTTTGACCCGATCTCGTCTAATTGGACCGCCCTCCCCCCGCCGCCCTCCGATCCGCCGCTCCGCCTCCTCTTCCGCCACCCTTCCTTCATTTCCCCCGCCCCTCCCGATCCAAACCCTAGCCGTCTCCAGGCAATCTCGTCGTCCTCGCCGCCACCGACGACCGCTTCCTCCCCGCCCTACCCCACCCGCTCGTCTTCAACCCGTCGTCGGAGGAGTGGGCCCGCGGCCCCCCGCTCTCCACGCCGCGGCGGTGGTGCGCCGCCGCGCCTCCGGCGGCTCAATCTACGTCGCGAGCGGGATCGGGTCCCACTATAAACTGGACGTC